GTAACTGCTTAGAGGAAAGAAAATCACATCCACTGCCAGGCAGCCATAAATCACAGCTTTACTGGTACATGCACATTTGAGTCTGACAGAATCATTTAAAGACTCGGTGGGCTCGCAATCATAGGGCAATTTGAGCTTTCCTTCAAAAAGAGTTTTAATTGAATTAGTCTGAGCGATTATATGCTCCAAACTAATGGGGGCAGTTTCATCTGGCGGGGCTCAGTGAGCTGAATAAAGAGCCAAATCTCAGTTCCTCCATCATTAGCGGGACTCAAATGTCAGGACTGTATCAGATAAACATTCGCACATCCTGCTCACTGGCGTTTCAAAGCCTAGTTTGATCACTGCTGTCTACATGCAGCTGCCCTCTAAGACAACACGCAAGACAATTGAAATGGGGCCTTCATTGTTTTACATTCGCACAGGTGATTATCAATAAATGTAAATATTTTTGATACTTCTGAGTATTGAATGTAATTTATAATGCATATTTCTATATAAGGAAACCAATGGGTTGAAGATCCAAATTGCAGTTTCATTGCAGCTTCAAAGGGCTCTACGCAATCCCAGCTGAGGAATAAGGGTCTTATCTGGCCATCTAACCATTGGCCATCTAAAAATATATATATACTTTTTTAACCACAGATGCTCATCTTGCAAGACTTTGCGTATTATCACATTGGAAAGGTCGGCCAGTAACTTGACGTAGGCGGAACATGTAGGGTAGGGCGAAAATCTCATTTTCTCCTCCAACTTAAAAATTGTCAAATTGTCTGACATCGTTGTTTTACTTTTTTTTTGTAAAGGAGTTTTTGCACGTTTGCTTTGTAAACACTAGGTTGGTACTTCCGCCTATACATCACACGTGACCTTTAAACGGGATTACATAATGTGTGGCGCATCGCAGCATCAGCTTGCTTGTGACAAGATGGCCGCCGGTGATGACGATAGAGACTCTGCCGTAAGACATCTAGCCTTTATTATGGATATCTATGGTGTAGACGGTGGCATATATCTTCTTTGTCGTTACGTATGTGTGCTCGGTAAGACTGTTTTGTGTCTGAGCGCCCCCAAGTTGTGTTTTATTGTAACTTCAGAAGCACCAGACACGTGAGTAAAAGCGGCAATCTCATTGGTCGGATAGTTTTTGAAGCGGCACGTCAAACCAAAAAACCGAACCCGAGGCGTTTTTTTTTTTTTTTTTAAATGAAACTTTTACATGTGGCGTTTTTCGCGTCAGTGTGTTTAGTCATGAGGCGTTAAACGTCCGTGAATATCGTGTGCGAAATTCGTCCCGAACAGGCTTTTACGCTCTAAATAACACAGTCTCATCCCAAAAAGTCATATAACTGACGTTTTGGGACGTCTTTTGACCATACGTCAATATCCGCCTTTTTAGGGCCCCCTTAAACGTCGGTAGATGGCGATCCCGGGCCGTCATACAACTGACGCTTTACCTTTAACGTCAGTTAGGTGACGGGGTAGGTTTAGGGTTAAGTTTAGGTATGGGGTAGAGTTAGGATCCCATAACCTCATCTACCGACGTTTAAGGGGGCCCTAAAAAGGCGAATATTGACGTATGGTCAAAAGACGTCCCAAAACGTCAGTTATATGACGATTTGGGATGAGACCGGGTTGTTCTAAATCCAGTCATTTCATAAGGACTCTGAATTGGTAGTTTAGAAGTTGGTCACGTCACGTGAATTCACTGTTAAAGCTGCTTTTTGTTGCATCGCTAGACTACTGACAATGACCCTTTTTTGACTACAAAGTTTCATTAATGTGATATGTGTACCTTTAAACACAATTGACAGAAAAGCAACATTTGTCAAATCACAGATTGTGAAGCATGATCAATTAGAATAAGACGACTAGGGACACAAGCAATTTTAGCGAAAAATGTTTAATCTCTCCTTGATGCATGTTTATTTACACATAATAAATTTGCAAAATAGGAAAGAGCACAATATTTACACAATGAGCATTTAACAGCCAACCTGTCACAGTTGATTCAAGTCTGAAACTCTTCAAAAGGTATCAGAATTAATAAAGTATTAAAATTCTTTAGTTTTCGTTTTCTTTGAAATCTACATGCTCACATTTTGTTCCTACGTTTAAATTAATTCATCCTTCCAAAAAAGGATTGTTTCATCAATCTGGAAACACAATGAGCGGAAATCAACAAACCGGATTGGTGTTTTGGACTGAGGAGGAGCGTAAGAAAGAGGGCGTGGCCAGCAACGATAAAGAGGCGTATGGAAAGAGATGGACTCTGGGTAATGAGAAAAACGAGGGAGGAGTTGACAAGGCACTCTGTGCGAAACGAAAACTCTGTGAGTCCGAAACACCTTCTGTTCGGCTTGTTTTCCCTCTACGACGTCTTTTTTTTGTCTTTGTTCCTGTACTCAAAGTAGTTCTCAAAACAAGTGTCGCAAAATAAGAGGCATCACTCAAATACTTTACACAGCGAAATGTTAGAATATCTCTGAAGAGTTCCACATGTTCCACAACTCAACATCTAAAAACAGTTGAAAATCAAACATAGCGCTCATCATGGAAATAAAACCGAATGAAATGAAAGGCAAAGACGACATCAAAGTGAAACAATGCAACCAGCTGCTTTACAATCACCAACACCAAAGTCCCGCTATCGAAGCACAAATCACATCGAGATTTTTCAATCCGAAAAACGACAATAGAAAGAAAAAAAAATGGCCTGACCGTACATTATGATATGTAGAATGAACATCATCAGCCTTTGGAATGAAAGTAGAACAGCATGCTTGTATTCTCAAATCATTTTGTAATGTCGAAGCGTGCATCAACTCATCTACTGAAAATGAACTGAACATACTAATGTAAGGAAGGCCAGATGGAGGGGTCCAAGTCACCTGACCTTACATCCAGCTCTCTCCTTCTACTGTTAAAATTAACACAGCAGTGTGTGTATGTTCACTTTTAGGAAGTCTATCTACCTATTTAGCTACTTCATCGACGGTTCCTTCCATGTAACTTGATCTTGCACTAAAACGGAAATGATCGCTAAGAGTTGCTGAGGGCTAAACACAAACAAGCAAACAAATCCAACATCGATCTATTCGTTTGTGCCGAAAACGAATGCAGTTTCCTACAGGTGAGCATCTGGAATCTAAAGAGAGATTGTCTTTACCGTTCTAGAGATTTGTGGAGACCTGCTCCCCATTGATTAGGAGAAATCGCAATGGCATGAAATCAATAACGTAAAGCGTAATGCCAAAATAAATAAATTCGTAAAGAGTGATTCTGTATTACTTTCCCAGCTGGAATGTACCCTGATGTACAGCCGAGGTAAAGCGAGCAAAAACCCGTCAAACGTTCATTTTGCGCGTCTCTCTCTCTCTCTCATTGGGTTTATGACCTAAATCTTTCAAAGATGTTTCTATCGCATCTCAGAAAGTCTACATCTGCTTTAATCTCAGCGGAAAGCCATAGGAGGAAAGGCTTTCTCTTGTTTGAACACGACTGGCTTTAAGAACTGCGGCAGCACATGAAAGCGAGTCACTGCAATACACATTCTCACAGAGTTACCGACGCTCGCAAGAGAGAAGATAAAGAGAAACTCCAAAACAACCAAGGTGGCGAAGAAAAGTAAAGCAGAACTCGACTTCATCTGCTTGATACCCCTGAAACAGTTTGAGAATCGCTTCACATTTGTATTTGTAACACTGCAAATCACCAATCTTGATAGAAATTAGTTAGTGGACTGTTGAAAACCAAAATGATCAAGACAAAGCACAAAAAGCTTTAAAAAAAATGATAGCGATGTAGCTTATAAGCTCAAATTGAACAGAAAAATAAATTAAAAATACTCCTTAAAGGGTTCTACCTCACAAAAAACAAAAAAAAAACACATCTAACTTAGTGCGGACATGATGCCCGTCTAAGAACGTTACCACCTTGCTTTAAGCTTTACTACCAGTTTCCGTGGATATGTAACATTCAGCTATGATCATTTGGCTTTGAAACCATTGATTTTAAGCTTTTTTTAAAAACAGAGGCTGCTAAAGATGTGGAACAAACTGGAATTAACATTTGCTACATCTACAGTAACGGAACACATTCTTCGGTTCTTCAATCTCAAGTTTTCCTTCATTCTAGACTGATTTGTGCAAAAGTTACAGAGGCTAAGAGTGCTCATGTTTGAAATGAAGATGAAAAGGGCCAATTATTAATTATCGGTCAAGTTCTCGCGCGGAATAGCAAAGAATATGTCCTGAAGTGTCTTTCAGACTTAAACCCATAATATCAATAAGGTTGAAATAAGTGTACAAACTAAATACACAGATTCATCCACCAACTAAACAATGAACCCTTTGTTTTTCGGGAGGACATTTCCCTCCAAAAAACACTAGGTACCACATGGGAACACATTTGTCTGAGTTTGTTCTTTTTTGCACATTGTTTTTTTCACTCTCAGTTCTTCAGTCACTAGGGTAGTCAACATTAAAAATAATAACACATTTTATCTAAAGAAAATCTTTTTTTTTTTGCACTAACAACATTCAAATAAAACATGGCACAGGACATTTTTTTTTCAATATTTTTTGTTCATAGTTCAGTCTGTTTCAAATATCAAATTCATCTTATTCTTTTCTATGTTAAAATGGAAAACTTTGTACGCATCTTGTCACTCTTTTTGTATAAAAATGCAGTTGTATTTATATATCTATACACATTTATATATATATTTATATCATTTTCATTTGTTTTAGTTCCTGTAAATTGTGCAAATTCAGCAGTAACACAAGTGGCAGGAGACTGGATCAAGTGAGTCCTTCGATCAACCCAAAGAGCAAAAACAAAAAAACAAAGATGTGATGTAAGCGCTAAAGAAAAATACCGGTCACTAAAAAACAAAACACTGATTTTATCCTTTGTGGGCTTTAAGGTCTTCTGGCTCATAATACAAGACATCCTTGGTGAGTAAAAGCACACGAACGTGGCTCAACACACACTCCAAAATGGAGACATTCTGGTGCGTGTTGAGTTCAAAGGAAGTGATAAAACAGGATTTCCACCCTGGGCTGAGGGGTCTCCAGTGTACTGCTTCTGTCCTTGCAGTCCGTTAGCTTAGTGTGTGTTTGTGTGTGTCTGTGTGTGTGTGCGTGTGGACAAGGCTCTGGGATGGGCTCAGGAGGTCAGAAGGAGCCATCTGAGGTGGGCGGCGAGATGAGGAGGGGGTCCTCAGCTTGCCAGAGCCATGGTGTCGATAACCTGTTCCAGTTTACTGCGCAGTCTCTGTCGCCGGGCTAACTCATCCTTCTGAAGCGCGGACAGGATCTGTAGAGGAGGAAATGACCTCAAATTAGATCACAGGGTAGTTAGCAGTGTTGTAGTACTCGAGACTCGGACTCGTCTCGGACTCGGTCTCGAGACCATATTTTAATGGTCTTGGTCTTGTCATGGACTCGTGTCCATTTGGACTCGGAATTGACTCGTACTCGAACATTTTTTTTTTTAGGACTCGGACTTATTCCCGAGTCCACTCGAGTTCAATTAAAAATATTTTTTCATGATTATTAATGTATGTTAATAAAATATTTCTTTAAATTGATTGACACGCCCAGTGATTGGTGATTTTCTAGTGCGCAACTGCGCATGACAAATTGTAATAAAATTACTTTTAACACCACGTGGCCTTTTTACCCTAAACTGATCATATTTTTTAAATTCTAAGTAAATTCAGTAAAAAAAAAAAAAAAAAAAAAAATGTCTCTAAGTAAATAAAAGTAAATTAGGTAATCAACCCTCACTGGTCTCGGTCTCGACTCGGACTCGACCGTCTCTGGTCTCGGACTCGACTCGGACTCGACTCGGTCTTGACTCGGACTCGACTCTCTCTGGTCTAGGTGACGACTTGGACTCGAGTGAGGTGGTCTCGACTACAACACTGGTAGTTAGTACTGTAGTTGGTTTATGAGGCCTGTGTTAAAGGTGCCATATAACATCATAAATCAAATCCTACTCCATATTCCATAACAGATGGGGGCAGTATACCTCCAAAAAATGACTTGTGCTCCTACCATCGCGCATGTTATTCAAATCATTTGACATGATAGTAAAAGGTTGGAAGACCGCAGTTTCACGTGGAACATTTGGAGATTTTTAGAGATCAGAGACTCAATGAACTAAACACTAGAGTGAACTAAACTAAACACTATGAATCTCAACACTAAATGATGAAGACCGCCTCATAGATCTCAAAAACAAGCTGGTGCATTTCGACGATATGGGAAAATAAAAGCTTGGGCAATTATTTGAAGTTTATGGTATTCGTTTTGTTCATATTACACTTTTATTGTTAGTGAATTAATTTGACAGACAGCATTCGCTGATGTTGATCAAGCTAGCGCCGTGAATTCACCGTGAGACACACGCAATTAACACTTAGCAAGCAGGTTAGTTAAGCTCTCAGATTCTGTCAATTATATTACGCAATTCAAAGAATAAATACCGTTTTGGCGCTTGTACATGTTACACTACAGATCCCTAGCGCATGTGAACCGATCGTCTCTACTAGCTTGAAAAAGAACACGAACACTGGTGAAAGATACAGTATGCTACAACTTCCCAAAATGTATTCCTCATGCATAATGTCGACCAATCATTTTTCGAACTCTTCCCTGAACTGAAATGTAGTAATTGGCTGTATTTCCACACGACTGACATCAGGTTCAAGTACACACAAGCCGGCCGGCGCGAGCGCGACTCACTCGTCTATTGCAGTTTGGCTGGTGCTAACGTTGCCCGTCCGCATACCGCCTCCCATGGCCGGAACTGGTATTACGATACCTGCCGGGCCGGGGCTAGTAATTTAGCATGCTAATTCAGGTTAATATCTCGGCAGCACTATAACTTGTCAGTTTTTTAATGACATCTTTGCACTTATTTCTTCTCATTCTTTTGATGCGTGTAGCTCATTTTTCGTATATTGTTACCTCAATTATTACATATGCCACCTTTAAAGGTGCAATACGTAATATTGACAGCTAGAGGCTGAAATGGGTACTGCAGTTCAAATGTTTCACCAACCCCCTCTTCCTCAGACTCGACACTGGTTCCCAGTTTGAGGACACGCAACAGGAACGAGTGGAATTGACAATGGAAGGCGATTGCAGTAAGTTATTGAGTTGATTTATCCGTATCTTAACCCTGTGGGGACCAAAAACGCGATAGACTTAAAATACTCCGTCATTAATGGTCATATAAATAAAATCAATACATGATTATACACTATAGAGCAGTGGCGGGCCGTGCATTTCACACTTAGGCCTTCTGTCCTACCTGAATTAATAACTTTTAATAGTGTATCAGCGACATAAAGTCGACATGAAAGTGTTCCCAACCCATTAAAACTCGATTTTACGCAACGGAAATTGAGGTCTTGATGACAGCTGAAAAGGAAAGTTGTTTTAGAGGAAGGACGAATTTAAATGTAGTAATGCATATCATGGCACTTTCATGTTGCCTTTAAAGAAGTTGAGGTTCAAACCTACGATCTTTTAGTTACCAGGCAAGATCTTTAACCACTGGGCTTCGTCGCTCCCTTTTGGGTACGTGTTTTTCTGTAGATGGAAATGCAAATGTGCCGGTCACGCCTTTCAGAAGTTGTTTGTGAAACAGCGAGAGATGCTAACACCCATCTGTGTGGATTAACCAAAAAGCAAGTGTCTAAACGTAAAGGAAATGGGAAAGAAAAGAATCTCCAACACCCTTGGCGTCAGATAATGGACTGCTAATTTCCCTCCTGTTTTCACGCAGGTTCAGCGAGGGTGTTCATGTGGACACGTGTGCATCTGGATAATAAAGACTAATGAACATAAACGGCTGTTTAAAACGCAACCAGCTGCAGTGTATTAATGTCAGACAGAGAGAGGGAGAGTGGTTTCACAGAGAAGAGAGATGATGTTTGATGAGTTGTGTTAGACTAAACATCCCGAAAGTAAGGAAATGGAAGATGGAAATGAAATCATTAAAAAAAAAAAACAGGGCTAGGTGCTAACTATGGACACCTTTTTATATCAGCCTAATGGGTGAAGAAACAGTAGTAAATGTAGGAATAATTATGCAGACACACTGTGTCAATTGCTTTTCACTAAACACACACACACCCTCATTTCTGTATGAGGTAGAACTAAATGGTCTCCTTCGGCGGCTCATTATCTCTCCATTTATCCAGCCTGGCTGGAATGAGTCACTGGTTTTGACACATGATCTCGTGTGTGCTGTCAGATGGCGTTACGTGTGAAGGGCTACATGGATAAAACTGTATCTGAGTGGCCATGTATTAAAAGTGTTAGATTTCAGATTTTGCCATTTTAACAGCCTATTCTGGCTTGCTTTGGTTGAATTCTGATGTACTAGTCAGAGAAGTCGTCACATTTTTCAACTTTCCCTCAGAAATAGCTTCAGAATGATAAACTACATCATATTTGTTCAAAGAAAAGTAGTATGTAGCATTTATACTTCACTTCTAGTGCGTTTTCTGTATGCATTAACTAGATAGAACCTATTTGCTAAAATGTATAATGTGCTGCAACCAGAACACACAGTATAACTGATCTCATGAAATGGCGTATGTATGACACGCCAATTTGTATTGCCATTTTTGGCGTGCTATCAACACGCATAATCGCTTTTCAGCGTGTTTATGAATGCCGTTTATGAATCTAACGTAACTTAACGTTACATTACTGTATATATAAATATATGACCTACCCCAACCCCGTCCCTAAACATACCCGTCACTGGGGTTAATACCATTTATGAGTCTTCCCCTACCATCCTAGGAACAAAAATATATCTCCCCAGTTGTAGATCTACATTTTGCTTTGTTTCGCTCAGACATTTAACGGCATAGACATACATGCATACACGAGGATAGCTCAAAATGCGTATAGATAACACCCCACTTGACTTAAAAGTGGCGTGTATGTTTACGCAAAAGTCATGATGTCATGTTGAAATAGTGCATCCCATGATGCAATGTGCTTAACTTGATCTTTGCTTATCAAAATAAACTGGAAGCTGGAATTATTAGTCCAATATTGCTCAAATATCTCTGATAAAAGGTATGCAAAAATGTACCATTTATTTCTGTGATGAAACTTGCAACAGTGTGGCCATGTGACAATGCAAAGGTTTGAACCTATTCAAAGATCTATTTATATAACCTTTTTATTTTTAATAAACAAAATGCTTGTGTTTCGTTCGGATCACAGCGTTTCTTTCTCTTACCTCGTCTTTGTACTTGGTGATGTAGGAGTAGATCTCGTGGAGGGCGCTCATGCTGTTGAACTGGCTCAGGTGGAGTCTGGACTGCTCCGCGAGATAAGCGCTCATGTCCTGATCACTGATGGCGGACATTCGCCCAATGTCTGAGTAATACCTACAGGACGGCAAGACAGCAGGTCCAAATGAGCATAATGATTTGCGTCTTTGAAGGTTATAATTAAGGTCTAACAAGGGAATTTTGTGCTAGATGCATCCTAAGCAGGGTCTCTGCCCACTTACCTTTCTACCCAGTTCTTGTAGTTGGGAATATCTTTAGCGTAGAGCAACTTATTTGAGGGGGAATCTTTGCCGAGCTTGTGTTCGGATGTGGAGCAGGAGTCCATGAAGGTTTGGGCGACTACGGAGAGACACGCATCCGTGATGCTGTTCTTGTGGATGTCGAACACAAACTGCGGGTTCTTGATCACATTCACCCAGAATCTTAACGGCAAACTGAGGACGAGGGAAAGGCAATGGGTGGATAATGAGAAGAAAATCTAGCTGATTTCATAAAACAGCACTTTTTACTAATGTCTTAAACAGTGTCGCTCCTCACCAGTTGCTCTTCCAGGTGTGCCGAACATCTGAATCTGTGATTTGGTGTTTGTCTGCCTGCTCATCCAGGAAGTCAAACATGTATTTGATGGCGAGAGGGAGTGCACTGCCACGGTGTGCCGTGCTGAATATCGTCTCAAACAAATCATCGACGAATTTCTGTAACGTACCCTGTAGTGAGAGAAATCAGAAGCGTCTTGACAATTACCTCGACTCTTAAGAGGTGGTAAAATGCCATTTTTACAAGATGTAAAATAAATCTCTGACGTCGTCAGAATGTGTGGGTGTGAAGTTTTAGCAGTGAATATGCCTGTTAAATATATTTTCATATAAATCAGTGGTTCTCAACTGGTTTTGCACCAAAACCAAGATTTTGACATCAAGTTGCACTGAAAATACCTAAATTTATCATACAGACTTCAAATAAATATTGAAATGTTTTTTTTGTTTTTTTATTACCATCAACTGCACAAGTCCAACAATGAGCAAATATTAACAGGAAACATACCATAGAGTTTGACTGTTAATGTCATCAACTCAAGATTTCGGGAACCATTTCCTCATCTATTTTAAAAGTTGAATTATATTTATTTTATTATTTTAATTAGATTTTTTCACTATTTTATTTTTAACATTTAATTTAATTTAAATTATTGCACAATATTATAGTTAGTTGGATTTTATTATTTGCATTTAGCATCTTCTTTTTCTCTCCACCAGCTGAACATTAAAAACACCAGAACTTTGGGCCAAAGAAAATGCTAAAAAAAAAAAAAAAAACGCAATATTCTCAGATTTAAACCCGTCCTATTGATCACAACGGCTACTTGCACACAATCACTACTTCCAAAAACGTACTAAAAGCCTAAAATCACTAAAGACCCTCGAGCAGCCGAACCGGAGATGTCGGTTTATTCATCATGTCTGTGAGCGGGAGAACAGCAGTGGCTCTCAGATAATATGGAGTGTGTTGATTAGGAAACTGGTGTGTGTGTGTGTGCGCGCGTGTGTGTGTACACGAGACAGACAGACACAGTCCGCGTGGTTTCCCAGCATTCATTCCGCGATCTGTCACCACGCACCATGAAGCACTCGATCCACAACAAATTACCTGTCTCCTGCTGTTCTCTTCCGCTACAGCATTACATTTATCTATCGTTTTTTATTATGTATCAAAATTGACCACCCGAGAGGCTTGTAAACATATTCTGATTTCATTTTTTCCTAGCCTAACAATTAGGAGGCAAAGCAATAAGCTACAGAACCAAGAAAGGGGGAGAGAGAGGAATGAGGGAGGAAGACAGGGCAAAAAGGAGATAGCAAGAATATTACATTGTGTCCTAACCAGGTGCGATATGACGAGATGCAAGCTATTTGTCTGTCAACACTGAATGTGGATCTGTGATGTGACACAATCACAGCCAATCAGAACATATTTGATATTGCAACGTGCAATGACATAAAAACCATTAATCCCATTCATTTTCATTGGAAAGCTGGCGACTTCCAAGGAGAGCAAGCGTTGCAGACCAGAAGTAAGCATGTCCAATGACGCAACAAAGTTGACTAATGTTAAACTTTATGCAAATTAAAAATGCATTTCGGGAACGACAACCATTAGGCGTGAAGTCAGTTGTGTGTCAATGGCAAGATGGAAGAGAAGTTGGTAGTACTTGCCCTGCAAACTCAAAGCCTGAATGATTTTGTGAACCCAGATACAACGGCGCTTGCACTTACACCACATATACATAGCAGTGATGGCAAAAAGAACTTGCTGTTTCTTGTTCATCTGTAATATTAAGCAGATTCCATTTTCTGATTCCATTTATAGTGAGTCTTTTCCCTCCAAAAGGTTTTTAGCTAGCCTGGCAAGCCAGACCTACATCAAGATGTTAGGTCTGGGAACTCACAACTGGCATACCTCAATCCGAGGGGCGGAATAAAAGGTTGTCTATCCCTCTGCACGCCATAAGACAGCGCTAACCAACCAGAGCAACGAATGGCTGTGGCTGAGTGAGTCCCATGCGTTTTCCCACCAGCGTAGCTATTGATATATCAAACTTTTGCCGTATCCGGTCGTCAAAACTCCGAACACATCTTCCTTTTTTAATGACTTAAGTGACGTTCTGTCATCCAGACTCGCAGCCAAAGCCGAATCGTAAGACCGCTGTTCGCCGGCAGCATCTTGTTTGTTTTCAAGTGGCAGGGAAATCACCAATGGAAATCACGGCACAGAACCGTCACAACTCTGCCGTCACTGTGTTAAATCCGCCCACCAACTCTATACACGATGTGATTGGCCTGACCAGAGTTTGGTTTTTCCACTTCAAAAGCCAACGGAGAGTTGCTAGAACACTGGTGGCAAAATAATTTTTGTGGCATCTAGATTTTTAAGCTAGTTTTTAGCGGCAATAAAACCAATCGGTTGTCTACAACATGGAGTAGCATCTCTAAATATCATTCACAATTGTTATAATGCAACAAGTAGTGAGAATGTCCACTAGTGACCTAACAGCCAGCGAAAGACATGCGACAAAGTCGCTGGCATTGTAAACGCACCTCAAAATTCTCAAGAACATGGATAAGAAAGCTTAATGAAAGCTCACCTTGGTGGCCAGCAGTCGTGTCAGGTAGATCTCTGACACCATCTTGCTCCCGCGATCGCCCTCACGTTGGTCTGCGTGGTCGTGGTTTTTGACGAGGTGCCAGAGCTTGGTCCCGCTCTCTAGATCAGGCGTGATCATGGGCGTCCTGGACCGCAGACTGTCTGGGCTGCTGGCCGTCCTCAACATGCTCTCTGAAGAGAACGAGAGTCAATCATTAAATCATTTTTATCGCATTTTATAACATGGATAGCTCTATTTTTACATTTGCGAGGCGAAAGAACTATAACAGTTGTCGAAAGATAAGTGTTTTCATGTTGCTGATACCGCCGCCATTTTATAAAAGAAAGACGCCATAAAAAGCCATGAGTACTTTTAGGTGTTGTAGGCACTCGTACAACATCAAAATCACTGTAACGCACGGCCTCTCGCGCTTATTGCTTTTATTTAATCATAATCTGGAAGGTTCCAAAATCTCAGGCAGTATTGACCCCATACATACAATATAAAGCGAAAACCTAAGCAGCATAAAACAGTCACATCGGCGGTTGTAAATCAGGTCCGGCGGTCTCTTCTATCTGATGAGCAGTCGGCTGCTAAATACCCAGGAGTTACACATCAAAGATGAGAGGAGAGAGGAGCTGAGCTCTGGCTAATGGATGGTTAAGCACAGTAATCTGTCTGAGGATAAGGCATTCTGGGTAAGGATCATTTCCTGTGGATGCCCTAAACTACAATGAATATACTGCATCTGCAGAATCCATCAAAAACTCCCTCAGGTTTATTCTATCCTTAAGTGGCAAGTGGGAGTGAAAGATAGAGTCCCGCGTCTGGAGTCTAGTTAATCAGTCACAGACTGGCAGGCCGGCGAGCTTGAAGGAAACAGCCACTGTAAGCTTAATTCAGCCTCTCGCAGCGCTTTTATATTACACCGCATAAAAAGTCAAGGCTTAGAAAAACATAATAGTGGAAAAGCAAATAAATAATAAATAAACCGGGAAAGGAGCATTTTTAAGCAACACCGAGACCACAAGATAACACTAATGGCTGAAACGTACTCTACGCAAGTATGTCAACGACGCAGACGTCCATGCAATATAATGCAAGTGTTATGCCGTGTTGTGTTTGTAATGTGCACTAGCATAAACGTCTTCGACAGTCAATTTTCTTGCTCAAGTCAACCACTGACGGAGCAAGTTTTCAGATGTGTAACTAGTTCAACACAAGACAGTTCAAAGTAACTATCAGCCTCGACGGTACATGTAAAATACAAAGTGAAAGTGACATGCGAAGGCCAAGTATGGTAACCCATACTAGGAATTTGTTCTCTGCATTTAACCTGTCCAAGTTAGTGAACACAACACAACATTTGAATTGCCAGTCGGACTCTCTAACCATTAGGCCACGGATGCCCACAAACCACAAGCTCACAACTCCTTTGCTAGTAATAGACCAATACGCCAGCCAGGCCAAATGATGGCCCAATAGTTTCCATGATTCAGATATTGTTTTAGTGTATACTATAGAGTAGAAAGTAAAAGTTTCTTTCCATTTAAGCAGGCTATAACCATTCAAAAGTTAAATTGATGAAATAATAATCAAAAGTGACATTCATAATTAATAAAGACATGTATTATGTTCCAAACGAATCTGATTTCAAATAAATGCTGTTCTTTTGAACTCCTGAAAAAAGTATCACATTTCCACAACAATATTAAACAGAATGATTTCTGAAGGATCAATTGACACTGCTTTGTCGTCACAGCAATAAACTCATTTTTAAACGCATCAACATAGACAACAGTTCAATATTTTTCCACAATAGTTTTTTTATTGTATTTCTGATCAAGAAAATACAACCTTGATGAGCATTTGATACATCTTTCAAAAACATAAAAAATCGTATTATCCCAAAGTTTTTAACAAATGTGTATACTATTTGTTTATCAGCTACCCTGCTTTCTACACTGTAAAAATGAATATGCTTTATCTAATCAATAAAATTGTGGCAACAGATTACAAGCAATATTATTTATTAAATTGAACAAATTATAATTGAGTAATAGTTAATCAAATTAATATTCTAATTAATTCTAATTTGTACAATTGAATTAATAATATTGCTTGTAATATGTTGCCACAATTTTATTGATTAGATAAACATTTTATTTTTTTCAGTGTAGATATTGAAAAACAGAAAAAACATGGCCAAACAGCTGCCTTTTCAGATGTACGTTTGTATATATTTTTGAGTATATTTCTGGTCTAACAGGCCATTCACGCTTGCATGGTGCTAGCAATGAGCAAGTGTTTGTATCTCGCTCTCCAATGCGACACAAATCGCATATAATGTTCAGCTCAGGGTAATAAAGGTTGACACGAATATATAAAAATGCCCAGTGAGCAGTCTGAAATAAGACTTCCTCTGTTCTCTCCTGCGGCTTGTGAATGCATCGTTCATTATTAATGGTACCAGTGTCAAACTTCATTACGGAAGCCCAGGGAGATGCATATCTGTCCAGTGCTCTTATCGCCATGTCCATTCTGGAGGCCGGGGAGGAATGCTCATTTGGGTATTGAAGATATGAATTCACTTCCTGTACGGGGGTGTGAAGGGATTTGGAACAATGTTCAAAGGTATTTTCATGAGCTTACATATCCAGGAAATCAAGTAAAAAAAAAAAAGCCAGATCATGTAATAACAACGATCCGCATTGGCGTCACTCTGACACCACAGCGACTACGCTAACCTCTGCCGTTTCCATGGCAACGAGCGAAACACGACTTGAACGACAATACGAATGTGCGTCCAGTGTTTGAGCAGAATTATCCGAGACATGAAACCCCCTCTCAATGGGAAATATAATGGACGTCTGCCATGAGAGAGCCATGGCTTGAGTGCATGTAATTCTGCGGCAATCACGGATACGTGCATCTGAGGAGGACGGACAACATTAAACAGCTTTTTCTCTCTGATCCGCTTTCTTTTGGGGGGTTGAGGAGCAAAACACCTTCAGTTCTGTGCTATCATCACCTCTTATTCGCACAAACACCCAAAGTGCTCGGAAAACAAAACAAAATCGACAAAAAGAATAGCGAAAAACGATATCCAGGCACGAGGACACGCTTCTTGAGCGAGTCCTGCTTTTTAAGGGAAAATGGAGGCCAGTGAGCTTCTGGGCGCAATAAATACAAATCTCTCGGGCGAATGTGGCAGACGTGATCTCGCTCTTCTGAAGAAAGTCTCAGAGGAGACGAGAAGTGGAAGTTGTGAGGGGAACATCAAAACAGGAAGTTGAAACAGAGTTCTTACCGTATCTGCTGAGGGACTTGGTGAAGGTGGACGAGTTGGAGATGTTGTACGCAGAGTTTTGCTTTGGCACCAGGGCGATAACAGACCCATCTGTTACCTGGATACAGTGAGGAACTCAACATTACTGCAAATAACTAATTCACGGACACATTCATCTACACTGTAAAAAAAATATTGTTGGTTTAACTTAAAAAAATTAAGAAACCTAGCTGCCTTAAAAATTTAAGTTCATTGAAATGGAAAAATTGAGTTAATACAATGAAGGAGACTGATTTAATCATCAGAAACTCAAAATATTATGTTAACTGAACTACATAAATTATCTAAGTTGATTTGACATAAAAGAAAAAATGTTGTGATTATAAATCATGAGAATATTTGTTGGTTTATCTTAAAAAAAATGAAGTAACATGGCTGAACTTAAAATTTTAAGTTCATTGAAATATTATTTCAATGGATGTACTCTGCCGTGTATATATATATATATATATATATATATATATATACACACACTGTATATTAAATGTTTTTAATAATTGATTTTAGAATGATTTCTGACAGTGTGACACTGAAGACTGCTGAAAATACAGCCAGGAATAATCTATATTTTAATAAAATATTAAACAATAAGGACAGTTATTTTACTGTATTTTTTGTACAGCCTTGATGATTATAAGACAAAAAAAATGATTCCATACTTTTGAGTGGTATTATGATATTTGAATCAAATGTCAACTTGATCATGTTTTTGTAGTTAAGACCATAAAACAAATTTGAAAAGTGTTTCCACCATATATTCAACCAGTTTCCATGACTTTTACAGTCATTCATGATTAATGCGCAAGTATTTTTAAAAATAATTTTCCATTTATATGCCAGGTACCAATCCTTGGAATTAAGAGATTATTTTGAACAAAGGTCTCCAAAAAGAGAACAACAAAACAATACAGAAAGGTCTATGACTTCTAACATTTGAATACATTTGCATTCCAGGTGATCACAATAAAACAGAAGAAGAAAGAAATTCTTCCATGACCATGAGAACCCTGAAGAGTGTCACCCTCAGAACACACCACCTAATTCTGCCATTCTTTGACCATGACATCTTTATTTTTCTTATTATTGCTCAGCTGTGGACAGTGACTGTACCTGATAGTGTGCTAGTGTGTTCAGGCGTTTCCAGTCATTATCAATCTTAGTAGTGACATCCTCATCCTGCAGAATGATCCTCGCCAGTCTCCCCTGGCGCCACTCTGCAACAGAAAACAAGATGAAGGGGTGTGTCAATGGGAATGGTGACATTCTCTGTTTTAAAAAACAGTACTTGCTTTTTTTCTGAATACATTTTCCAATTGAGGACATCCCCAAAAGCCTCTCAAAGACAGTTTTGTCATATTTAGCTCACTTTTGGGGACAATTTTGCACTCAAACATCACTCCCACAGCAAGGACGACTGACCACTTGAGGGGAGCTTTCCTCTTTAGAAATGCTTCATTTAGAGCACATAACCTTGTGCAGACCTTGTCCGAATCTCCCTGTGCAGAGTGAAGTCACTTTTCCGAGCGGAAAAGATATGAAAACATGCACTTGCTGTTAACAGAGGCTGAGTGACAAGTCTGACTCTGGGTCAGATCTAAATGATGGATCCGATCAAGGTCATGGGGAATGACTGTCGTAAGCCTCTTACAAGCAAACCGTTCCAATAAACAACCTTTCTGTTGGTTTGTTTGTTGCAGGAGGAAGTCGCAGTTTCTTATTTCCAAACCGATTCTGAGAGACAACTGCCAAGGAGCAGAGCAAAGCAAAGCCAGAAGAGATCTGCAGCTGATAGCATCACTCAGTCTGAGCCAGATGACAATCATGTTGGGGACTGCTCGAGCTAATGGGATCTTGCTGTGGATGATATGGTTCAGTGTCTATTTCCCTAGTGCCCACAACGGTGACTTCAGCATCCATTTATATCAAGCTGCTGATAAGCTGAACATTTGTTTTAGCTGACATTTGATTACAACGTGAAACAGGGTTGTTAATAATTTTGTTTCATAATTTAAGTAGGTTATCAATTGTCGATGAATTCGTTTTAGCACAGAAATGTTCAGTAATCAAAATCTCTTTGTATACACACAATTTATGTACTGTTCCTCTATCAGTCTTCCTGTATCATCTCAATTAGATGCATACTAAAAAGCTTAAATGTATTCAACTTAAGTGGACTGAACATTTGTTAAAAAACTGCCATATTTACATTAAGCATAATAAAAAAATATTTAATAAAATACATTTACTATAAAACATTTTAAATTAATAATAAACTATATATATATATTCAAAAATATTCATATTATCGGAATTAAAAAGTGGTAATAAGTTGAAAAAAGTAAGTTGTATGCATATATTATTTGGAATTTTCCATATGCATTTCAAAATTTAGATTGCTTACTTAATAGTTATTTGAATAATGAATTAATCAAATGACATAGCAAACATGCAATATGTCATTGATATGTCCATCTTGAATCATAAAAGCCAAAAGCTCTGCCAGCCACTCATCCAAACTGCAAATCTCTCTCACATCGCATTATTGTCTTTTCACATTGGGTTATTGTCTTTTTAACCCTGGGTAAGGCAACTCATAACCCTGGGTTATGCAACATTTCATTCTTGTAATTTTGAAACAGGGTTAGCACCACTTTTAACCCTGGGTAATGAAACCCTCCCCACCTGCAGTGGCAAAGGTATTATTTAAAAACAGTTAACTAATCCTAAACTGCCTCATTGTTGACCTCATTAAATATTCATTCCTTTTTTACAGCCACAGAAACATTCACTTGTACATGTACACATTTTCAGAGATGGACAGGCAGTTATTAAAACCAAATCAATCGGATTGACCTCATAAATATGCAAATAAGAACATTAACCCAGGACTTCCAAATGTAGAGTATAAACCTAACTGCCCAGGAATAGTGTGAAACATGAAACAAGTTAAGCCAAGATTTTGCTATCCAGGGTTTAGAATGACCTAATGACTCTTTCTCAAGGGTTCTTACCCAGGTCCATGTCTCCAGCTTTGGGTCTCTGTGAGTAGGGGCTTCCTTTATACACAGCGTCCAGAAGCTTCTCTTTCACCTGGGTGATTGTGTCACAGTTCAGGCATTTCACCGTCACCTCCGGGCCGTTCTCGCTCTCTGGGTTCACACAATGAAGTGTCTAAAAAGAGTCAAGGTAAATCGGTCTCATTAGCTTCTAGTTTGAGCAGTTAAAACACTCAATAGTTGAAAACACCATGGCTCTGTTCGAAAATCAAGTCCACTGCATTAGACAGGCGGCTGTCTTCTAGAAAAATCTCATAAGTGACTGATATGGAATGCTCAAAATTTGGAACTTCATTTAATAAGCAAAAATATATGTAAAAAAATAGCTTTTTTATTGCCGGCTACGTTTCGGAAAAGCTTTCATGTCAGGAGGTTTTGACTGCACATTGACTTTGTTAAATCAGCAGAAGGAACAGTCTTTTCACACTGCGCTTAACCCTGGGTTAGCATTGCACCTGGGTAAAGGAACATTGCACACTCGTAATTTCGAATCAGGGTCAACAACACTATTGCGAAAACGTCAAGCGGTGATTGCGTTCATTGGCGTGAAAAGGAGACCATTTTATTCTTACATTTATAGCTTGTAAAGGGCATGTAATCTATGTAAACAGGTTGCATGTTACGTTCGTCCAATCAGTGACACTGACAGTACAAATATGGGTTTAGGAATGTACAAGTGTGAAAAGTCAACTCATGAATACCAGAATGAATGTACCCTGGGTGAAGTTTGAGCAGTGAGATGCGTAAGGCAAGAAAAACCCAGGGTTAAGTTTGACCCAGGGTTTATTTTTTAATGTGTGAAAAGCCCTTTTGATTAAAGATTCCTTTTTCTCAATAGCAATTATTCATGAGTTGTGCACAACAGGACTAGTGACATTTATTAAGAATACAAATAAGGTCAATTTTGATTTCATCTTGATTAGAGAGACACATCCTCTGTACTGTATACTGAGTGTGTGCTAGCACTGACCAGCGTCTTATAGTCAATCTGTTGTCGGATGAGTTTGTCCTCGCTGAGGGAGTATCGGGCCTCTCCGGTGATGGCATCTATAGGGCCTTTTTCCATCTGCTGTTTAATAGCACAGTACAGCATGAAGAGAGGCTCGCCTGCACACTCCTGTAGAGAAAGAGTCAGAAACAACAGTGTGTTAGGACTCCACGATGTCACGAATACATGCACTGTGAATTTTTTCACCCCATAAAAAGTGAAAGATGATGCGATCAATAGCCCTTCTTTCCTTTCATAGTAACGCGCGAACATAAAATGCATTTCGGGATTTGTGTATTGAGCAAAACTTGATTACTGATAAACTGTCACTTCAGATGTGAAAAACAAGCGGCTATAATGGCACACCGCTTTCAAATAATCACAAGGACTTGCCAATCAATACAACCATTAGCCTCTCACACCCTCAAAAAGCCCCTCTCGAAAAAGACAAACAGTTTAAACGTAGGGAATAGAGAGAGCGATAGATGGAGGTTAACGATTGGGAGGAAGCACTTAAACCCCTTTGTGAAACGAACGGATAGGTGTGGAGAGAGAGGCGGCGGGGATGTGGATTGATAGGCTGATTTCTACATTAGCATTAACGTTTTCCACTGGCTAACAAACAATTTGTGATTTTCTTTAATTATTCATATGTTTGCGTTTGGCATCCGTTAGCATTTAGCAAACAACCAGCAGGGTTGTTATTGAGCAAAAACTAAACAAAGCTGAAATAAAATATCAATATTAGATGAAAAAAACTAGCGATTAGCAGGAATATTCAGATTATATATAAAACACATTATGTGAATTACACATTACAGCACAAAATCTGAAGCTACGGTGAATAAACGTGCTAATCGCTAGTTTCTGAGGCAGATGCTACAATGAATGATCTGTAATGAGTTTCTGAGACAGAAACTAGCAATTAGCAATCTTTTCCATTGTACCTTCGGATTACACAGAACACATTGTGCGATTTACACATTACCACAGAAAATCTGAAGCCACCATGAATACACTTGCTAATCGTTTTTTTTTTTTGTGGCAGAATCTACAAAGTTTCTGAAGCTACAATGAATTGGATTGAGTTTCTGAGGCAGAAATGATGTCAATTAAGTCAAAATCTGATTTAATTTCCAAAGATTGGTCAAATTTCAATGCAGGAGACACACAAGTCATGATTTACGGAGAGCAGTCACGTGCGAGACGCATTAGGCTTGTATCCCTCCTCAACCGACCCCCCCGACCGCAGTGATTATGATGGGCACGGTGAAACGAGGAAACCCGCCGTCTTCCTCCGCCTCACGCATACCCTCACGAAACAGTTACTCTGGTTTCCTCCACCACTTCATCCTGTTTTACTCCACCCACCCTCCCACCATATGCTGTTAACGTCTCGTTAGCATCTGCGCTAATTAAGCCGACAGCTGCTAACGAGAGGGAGCGTGAATACATCACTCTTAGAGACCCCCACTGCAGCGCGCTCGGCCGAGAGACCAGACCTCATCCCACGCTCTAGCTTCATTAAAGAAAGAGAGCAGACCACATAGACAGACCTCACCCACCCATAAGGCTAATGAACGGTAGCAGGAAAATATCCTGTTGAAATACAGCGCTAGCAGATCAATTATTCCACACCACAGCCTTGAGCAGACCTCGTCCAAAAGCACCACTGTGGCCAGAATGTTGATTAAAAAAAAAACTGCACTTTGTGTGAGAGAGAGATTTCTGGGAAGGTTTGACTTGTGTCAGTTTGCTTCAACTGTGCTTTCTGAGCAGTGCCATCATATGTGATATTACAAGCTGTGTGTTGGTGACAACAGCTTGTCAGTTCCACTAACTCACGCCACAATCCCATCCGTCTAAAACAGCGCCGCTTTTCCTAATGCTAATTAGCGATCACAAACTGTCTGCTTCTGAACTTTTGTCAGTTAGCAGAGGAGCCAAACGAGGCCTGTAAACAGACAGAGCTTGAAACGGGCTTCAAATGAGCAAATTGGAATTGGCTGATTCATTCTAAAAGGAACTTATTAGGCAACATTGCTCTTTTCCAGCATGTGAATGAAGACTGACACTGTCAAAGTCCAATGATAAATTAAAAAAAAAAAAAAAAAGGTTTGACTGCTTTGTGTGAGACTATCTCTATACACAATAATATTTGTTTTTCGATTCTTTCTAGAATAATAATATATATATTAGTGGTGGGCTTAGATTATTTTTTTTAATCTAGATTAATCTCACTGTGATCTTGGAATTAATCTAGATGTTTTCTAGATTTGCAATGTTTTTCCCTCACAAATGCGTACACGTAAAATAAGACAAAATTAATATTTTATGTTCTGTGGAGAGCCAACCCTTCTTTATCCGTTGGGTAGTATTACTTTTTGTACTTTTGCCACCTAAAAGTTTTTTTTTTTTTTTTGTGTGTGTGTGTCACGTCCGTTACAGATGTGTATTTATTTCCCTCATATTAAATCTAAAATGCTTAGACTGATATTTTCCTAATGTCTGGATAAACAGACGTTTTAATATATTGGTATTAAATGCCCTTTACAGTGCAATTCAGCTAGGTATACATCTGCGATAAAATATCAAGGTGAAAGTCATCATAGCTTGCGTAGTATATATAGACCGAGCTCCCGAGTCCCAACACAACTTTGAGAATACATTACGTTACGTCTCGCAGTACGTTAATGCCGATAACAGCCCACCACTTATATATATATATATATATATATATATATATATGTATGTATGTATGTATGTATATATATATAGATGCAAAAGCCTCTAAGTGCCATTTGAAATTTTCTTCTAGAATGATCATTTTTATCAAGCTTGTATATTTAAGTTCAGTGATTTCACTTAAATGGCAATGATAATTACCTATTAATTGTTATTTAAGTGAAATTACTGAACTTAAATATACAAGTTTGATAAAAATCATCATTAAAGAAGAAAATTTCAAATGGCATTTAGAGGCTTTTGCATCTGAACTCTTCATATACCGTATATATATATACACACACACATATATATATATATATATATATATATACACACACACACACACATATATGTATATATATATATATATATACCGTATATATATATATATATATATATATATATATGTGTGTGTGTGTGTGTGTGTGTGTATATATATATATATATATATATAAGCACAAGAATTCACCTACATGCATAGTGTGTGTGTATTTTATTTATTAATTCTTTCTATTTTAATATTTAAAATGTATGATATCAGTCTATTATTAGTATAGTACTATAAATAAATTGTCCATTTTCATCTATCGGATGAACTATTCCTTTAGAAACAAATACGTTGTATGTTGTCAAATAATGCAAAAGCATGTTCAATTTGTGTCAACTTTAAATGAATTTCTATGATGTGAAAGTATTCTAGACACCGGTTTCCTGTTGATTAAAATTCTTCCAGTGCATGCTGAGCCCTGCATGATTGAACTAATAAAACTAGAGAGCTGCTAATGCGAGAGTGCGAGAGAGAGAGAGACAGACAGGGGAGGATGCGACATCCTGCAGCTCAATCACGCTCTGTGAGTGGCGTCATGGGGCGAAGCAGGATGGGTGGGGGGGTGTCGGGGGGGGAGAGAGTACAGGAGTATATAAAAGGAGAGGGAACTAAGAGCTGATGGGGAATGGTGCCGCTAGGGACAGATGCAGAGGCAGAGGTGCCGCTAGGGACAGCCTTTGACCTGCCCGACCCCTGACACACAGCTTATGTTTCTTAATTTGTCTGATCATGTTGAAACTACTGGTGGGAAGGTTCTCTCCCTATTCTTGTAGAATTAAGAGTGTGAATTCATTTTTGTGTTTTTGCATGTGTGTTTGGGTGCATTTTTGTATTATCAGGGGTGAGTTGAACAGACTTTTACTCACCTATCATATCAAAGCTGATATTTTGAAGGTTTCAAATGGTTTTGTCCATATAATAAAAGTCAATGGGATTAACAAAATGTAGATCTCTAGGGTGATTCGTTAGACTGAATCAAAAATTTCAAAATTTCTCTTGGATTCTTTAGAACTGGCTCATAAGTTCAACTTGTGAATCAAACTATGAAACCTCACAAATATAAGGCTTAAAATATAAGGTGACACTGCAGATTTAGTAGTGCATGAAACATGTGCATGTACTGTACACTACTATTCAATAGTTTGGGTCAGCTAAATGAAATTAAATGTAAATATATATATATAAATATATATACTGTATATATAAATAAATGTAATTTATTCTTGTGAGGGCATTTTCAGCATCATTATTCCAGTCTTCAGTGTCACATGATCCTTCAGAAATCATTCTAAAATGATGATTTGAAGCACAGGAAACACTCCTTATAATTATGTTGAGAACAGAATAATATATATAACAACCCCAAAGTTTTGAATGATATCCTACATACTGTACCCACTTACTTTTAAGAACTTGTACAGAAGAAAAGTGAACCAGTTCGTAAGCATCTTCTCAGCAACAGACTCGGTCCTAAAAGCAAAGAAGAAAAGAGGAAATATGAATTCCAATTTATACAATACAAATGCAATCCAAAAGTAAATAAAAGCCTTCTTAAAAAAAAAAAAAAAAAAAAAAAAACACCTACTAATGTGGTACTTGTGGGTAAAAAAAAAAACTACACTTTTCCCCAAAACAAACCACCAATCTTCATTAAGACCAGACAATTACAGTAATTGGGCGACGTCTTCCATTAATGGCCAACCTGTCGCTAGCCGAAGACCCCCCAAAAGCTTCCCCAGAACAGAAGTAATTAAAGCACGCCGTAATTAATGGACTTCAATTCGTCTGTAGCTGGCAAACGAGAGCGACTGCTAGTAGTGCGGGCTGCAAACTGCGGCTCTTTCCTCCCTCAAGCCCACCAGGAGCCTTTTCTGCTGTTCAATAATGCATTCACATAGACTTACCAACTCCCATTACTTCCTTACATAAGGGCCTATTATTAAATTATATGCTCATTAATAAAATGGTGAAGGGGAGATAAGGTGAATGGAGCGGGACAACATGTATTTCACGAGGGGCAAGTGTACTGAATAGCTCATTAGCGTACTTCGGTAAGTGCGCTAGATAAGGGTTGACGTTCGGGTGAGATGGAGAGTATTGACTTACATGAACTTTTGTGTGTCAGGGAGAAAATTTTAGGTGTTTTTTTTCTAGGCTGGGAATTTTGTATCATTTTAAGTTTACTTTTAAATTTAGATTTTAGGGCATTGAACCGATTAATCGCGATTAATCGCATCCAAAATAAAAGTTTGTGTTTACATAATATGTGTGTGTAGTGTGTATAATTATTTTGTATAAATACACACATACGCATGTATATATTTGTTATTAATATATGTTATTAATATATCAAATATTTATATTTATGTATAATATTAATTTTGTATAAATAAAATATATATATATATATATATATATATAAAGTATATACATGCAAATATTTCTAAAATGTGTATGCATGTGTGTGTGTGTATTTATATATACAAAATAATTATACACACTACACACACATATATTATGTAAACACAAACTTTTATTTTGGATGCGATTAATCGCGATTAATCGTTTCACAGCCATATTAGATTTGCAGTACTATATTCTACCCTCTCTATGACCCTTAGTGCGCCCAAAATCACATACTGAGTAGAATTTGAATTTACTTTAAAAAAGTATGTTCAATATAGTATAAATATGGGTAGTATGAATGAAATTTGGACATACTACATCTGCCATGTTGTCATAATCACGTGACCTACAAGCGTCAGTTGTGTCGCTTCACTTCCATTCATAAATCCTCTCCCGTAGTCATCGGATAGTAAAGTGTCCATTGAAAGCACACATCCTTGTTATTACTATGTGGTATGTGCTGCTGTGATGTGTACATTTCCCCTTGAATTGAATCGAATTGAACACGTAAGAACCTCGTCGGAAGAAGTAAGTCATCCGGGGACTATTCAAATATAGGTATTCGGACACACTACTCTTTTGGCATACTATTTTTCGCATACTAGAAAGCAGGGAAGAATTCCGTTTTGCTACTGTACCTTTAAGATTTTTAAATCTAAACAACCTCTCTATTTTGATTGGCCAACTCTGTATATCTGTGTGTGTTCTCTCTCACCTCCTGAGCAGCAGTTTAGGGTGGTTCTTGCTCTCCAGGTTCTTGTCGATGAGGTCAGAGAGCAGCTGTTTGAGGACTCCTGTAGCGTACTCCATCTCTCCCTGTAGAGCTGTCATGATGAGTGATGCCACGTTGCCACGGTCACGCATGGAGAAGGAGCGCTGAGCTTCGAGCGTGCGGATAAATGTCAGAAGGAAGTGCTTCTTGGTGAGGAGTTGACCAAATAGAGTCAAGGCCTTCTCGACATTAGCCTGCACCTGTGGGAAAAAAACACGCAGAGCAACTGATTATACAGTGTAGAGCTAATTATGACATATGTTGTGTTTTGTTGAATGGACAAAAAAGAAACAATTACATTCAATCAATTACAGTACATTTAACATGCTCCTTTCAAAGACTCTAAATTCTTTCACAACATTGGTTCTCGTTCATTAAACACGAGAATGAATGTACACTACAGATCAAAAGTTTGGAGTCTGTAAGATTTTTAAATGTTTTTGAAAAATGTATTTTATGCTCAAGAAGGCTGTACTGATCAAAACATACAGTAAAAACAAACTGTTTTGTACAGGTGTGACGTAATGACTCAATATGGCCTACTAGCCGAGACTCTTCTTTGTGTACAGATGTGACGTAATGACTGAATATAGCTTATACTAGCCGAGACTCTTCTTTATGTGGACAGATGTGACGTAATGACTCAATATAGCTTATACTAGCCGAGACTCTTCTTTATGTGTACAGATGTGACGTAATGACTCAATATAGCTTATACTAGCCGAGTTTCTTCTTTATGTGTACAGATGTGACGTAACGACTCAATATAGCTTATACTAGCCGAGACTCTTCTTTATGTGTACAGATGTGACGTAACGACTCAATATAGATTATACTAGCCGAGACTCTTCTTTATGTGTACAGATGTGACGTAACGACTCAATATAGATTATACTAGCCGAGACTCTTCTTTATGTGTACAGATGTGACGTAACGACTCAATATACCCGACTAGACGAGACTCTTCTTTATGTGGACAGATGTGACGTAATGACTCAATTTAGCTTATACTAGCCGAGACTCTTCTTTATGTGTACAGATGTGACGTAACGACTCAATATACCCGACTAGACGAGACTCTTCTTTATGTGGACAGATGTGACGTAATGACTCAATATAGCTTATACTAGCCGAGACTCTTCTTTATGTGTACAGATGTGACGTAACGACTCAATATAGATTATACTAGCCGAGACTCTTCTTTATGTGTACAGATGTGACGTAACGACTCAATATAGCTTATACTAGCCGAGACTCTTCTTTATGTGTACAGATGTGACGTAACGACTCAATATACCCGACTAGACGAGACTCTTCTTTATGTGGACAGATGTGACGTAATGACTCAATTTAGCTTATACTAGCCGAGACTCTTCTTTATGTGTACAGATGTGACGTAACGACTCAATATACCCGACTAGACGAGACTCTTCTTTATGTGGACAGATGTGACGTAACGACTCAATATAGCTTATACTAGCCGAGACTCTTCTTTATGTGTACAGATGTGACGTAACGACTCAATATAGCCTACTAGCCGAGACTCTTCTTTATGTGGACAGATGTGACGTAAAGACTCAATATAGCCTACTAGCCGAGACTCTTCTTTATGTGTACAGATGTGACGTAACGACTCAATATACCCGACTAGACGAGACTCTTCTTTATGTGGACAGATGTGACGTAATGACTCAATTTAGCTTATACTAGCCGAGACTCTTCTTTATGTGTACAGATGTGACGTAACGACTCAATATACCCGACTAGACGAGACTCTTCTTTATGTGGACAGATGTGACGTAACGACTCAATATAGCCTACTAGCCGAGACTCTTCTTTATGTGGACAGATGTGACGTAACGACTCAATATAGCCTACTAGCCGAGACTCTTCTTTATGTGTACAGATGTGATGTAACGACTCAATATACCCGACTAGCCGAGACTCTTCTTTATGTGTACAGATGTGACGTAACGACTCAATATAGCCTACTAGCCGAGACTCTTCTTTATGTGGACAGATGTGACGTAATGACTCAATATAGCTTATACTAGCCGAGACTCTTCTTTATGTGTACAGATGTGACGTAACGACTCAATATAGCCTACTAGCCGAGACTCTTCTTTATGTGTACAGATGTGACGTAATGACTCAATATAGCCTACTAGCCGAGACTCTTCTTTATGTGGACAGATGTGACGTAACGACTCAATATAGCCTACTAGCCGAGACTCTTCTTTATGTGGACAGATGTGACGTAACGACTCAATATAGCCTACTAGCCGAGACTCTTCTTTATGTGGACAGATGTGACGTAACGACTCAATATAGCTTATACTAGCCGAGACTCTTCTTTATGTGTACAGATGTGACGTAACGACTCAATATACCCGACTAGACGAGACTCTTCTTTATGTGGACAGATGTGACGTAACGACTCAATATAGCTTATACTAGCCGAGACTCTTCTTTATGTGTACAGATGTGACGTAACGACTCAATATAGCTTATACTAGCCGAGACTCTTCTTTATGTGGACAGATGTGACGTAACGACTCAATATAGCTTATACTAGCCGAGACTCTTCTTTATGTGGACAGATGTGACGTAACGACTCAATATAGCTTATACTAGCCGAGACTCTTCTTTATGTGTACAGATGTGACGTAACGACTCAATATAGCTTATACTAGCCGAGACTCTTCTTTATGTGGACAGATGTGACGTAACGACTCAATATAGCTTATACTAGCCGAGACTCTTCTTTATGTGTACAGATGTGACGTAATGACTCAATATAGCTCATACTAGCCGAGACTCTTCTTTATGTGTACAGATGTGACGTAACGACTCAATATAGCCTACTAGCCGAGACTCTTCTTTAAGTGTACAGATGTGAAATAATGATGCAAAGATGCTTGAATCTCCTGCAGGAATCCACCAGTACCATTGAAATTAACAACATTATTACAAGCTTACTGCTTTGAGTCGACCTAAGGCAAGCAAATAGTTTTGAACACTGGCTGGTTATGCATATTTTGGATAATTTTTAACCCAAAGAAGTGCCAATGCCATGAATTTGGAGGCGGGACTATCTTTTTAACTGGCCAATAGCAGAGGTGGATAAAATTAAGTAACATTTTTCAGTGCATTAAACTTGTGCAATGTGACATTCAATTCAATTCAAATTTATTTGTATAGCGCTTTGCACAATACGTATTGTTTCAACGCAGCTTTATTTGGACATTTCAAAATAAAATATAAATTGGGAAATAAACAGATTTATTGTGTACTAAATATTTAAATATATTTTTTATTCTAACATTCAGTGATCAGTTATGCACTGTATAATCAGAGGAATTTTTAAAGAAAAGTAAATCAGGTTGATTTCAATTTCACATTGCTTTTGATTGACACATTCTGCCTTTCTGAAGCACAAAGTCCTTTAGTGTTCAAGCAGAAGTTCACATGAGGGACGTGCCTCTTTCTGATTGACATCAAAGGGAATCCAAGATGCTAGCAGCTCAAAAACACAACAGAAGGAAATGCAGAGTGTTGAAGGACAGAGAGAGAAAGAGTACAGCAGGAAGCAGACGTGACCTCTGTGTCCAGGAGCGAAAAGTGGCGTCGGGTCCTTCCATGATCCGCAGGGCAGCACCTGTCACTTTTCATCTGCCTCACCTTTTCATAAATCTTACCTTTACAATGTCTGGAAGCTACATGTTTACACAAACATAATAAAAGCAACACATCTTACATGTGTCCTTAGCCAAACTGTGCGCATATTCATCTAATGAGTAGCCCCGCCCACAGAGAAATCTCATTGGTGCAAAATTATTACCTCAATGTAAAACCTGTAATTATATCACATTGTTGCTGGGAACTTCACAAAGAGCTATAATCCAAAGAAATGACCAAAAACAAATAAAATCTCAGTGCGAGGATGCCGGAATCAGACTTCAAAGCGAACCGACGTCTGTTATTGTCCCCTTCAGCACTTTATGTTCCATGTAACCTGACAAAGGCCTTTTTTCCCAACAACACAGACTAATAAAGTGCCTCAATTCTTCTCTGCTGAGCCGAATGAAATTTGCAGCCTCTCGGGGAGGCCGATTGTACTGTAGGTTGCTTTGGGGCGAGAAGCTACACAGAGCAATAAGGGTCTGAGCCGTGCGCATAGGCACTTGATTACGCCGGGGACTCGGGGGCAAATACAGTGAAAACAAACCCCAGATGAAATAATAAACATGTGATTCCTCCACAAGCCAACAGCATGACCTGCCGTACGCAGGCCGAAGGACGTAGCATGTTGGAGTAATGGAGTATTTAATTGCGCTGACCGGTGCGTTTTGAGTTTTTTTTACCATTGCTTGTTTTCGTTACCTCGTGCTCTTTCATGTCAGTCATTAGCGTCTGGCTCTATAGTACAAGAGGTCACAATCTGTAACGTATTGAACTCTTTCAACTCCAAATTGTAGGTTCAAACTGCATTTTCCACTCTCTCTGGTGAGTCATTGACCCCATTTATCAGAAGCCATTGATGTTAAAAATATTGGTAACCGAATTTACAGTATACATTGTGACCTTTCAAGAGTGTTGATCAGGTGTCAATGCAGTTATCATAGTTTATACAATCTCAGCTATACGTGAGGGCCTGATGCTGTTGTTTTTTTCTAGTATTAGTAGGGCTCGGATTATTTTTGATTGCATTGTTAGTTCTGCTCTATAGGGGTACCGTGGTGATGGCGATGTACTGACCCGTACCTCCATCTCCTTGAGCACCGGGTGGTCCTCAATGCCAGGGAACAGCACTCTCATGGCGTAAATTCGATAGTCCAGGAACGGGATACCTGCCCCGTCCAGCTCTTGGGTCAGCTCGTGGATGTCGGTCTGGAGTTCGGCAAATGCTGTTAGGAGAAAAGAAAACCTAGTAAGAAGAATTTCAATCTGACTAATATCTGACTAATAAAGTTAAAATATAAATATATATACACTACCAGTCAAAAGTTTTGGATCAATACGATTTTAAATGTTTTTAAAGTCTCTGCCCACCAAGACTGCATTTATTTGATTAAAAATACCAAAAATTATAATAATAAAATAAAAAAAAAATATATATATATATATATATATATATATATATATAAAATCATCAAAATATTATTATATATATATATATATATATATATATAGTTATATAATTATATATATATATATATATATATATATATATATAAATATAAATATATATATATATATATATATAATCATCAAAAAAGATTTGATGAATAAAAAGTTCAAAAGAACAGCATTTATTTAAAATAAAATCTTTTGTAACATTAAAGACAATCCATGTCTTTACTGTATCTTTTTATCAATTTAATAAAAGTATTGATTCCCCAATACTTAATACTTAATACAGATATATATATATATATATATATATATATATATATATATATATCTTTATTAAGTATGAAGTATTAGGGAACATAATAAAACATCTCATTATTGAAATTTGGTTTGCCTTAAGCCTCCGTATGGTTAAAAAAAAACTTTGAATAAAGCGGTGGAAAATTATTGCAAAATGTGGTCACTGGGAACATTGTGAAATAATAAGTTCTTATTGGGTAAACAGAAGTAATGCTAAGTCTGTCAATCTGTTTGTTTACTCAGTTTATGACTAATTTGGTTTTGCTATTGGAAAAGAGCGGGAGGGAAGAGACGTTAGACACAAAGTTCACGGGAAAAGAAAGTCAATTAATTGTGTGAGTGGGTAATTAATAAAGGAACGGAGCTTTTCATGCATAATTTCCTCCAGCTGTTGTTCCTCCTCGTTGTCCGCTGGGAGATGAATACTAAAGCAAGAAGCTCCTATTCTAAGTGAGGGTTTCTCATCTTAAAAAATACTAGACAAATATTATTCAAGATGAACTGTCCAACGGGACTTTCAGTCTCCTGATGCAAAAAAAAAAGAAGAAGAGAAAGCGACAGGCATAAAGAGCTTTTAATTCAATGGTTCTTTCTCTTCAATAGTGCACTTGAAAGGCCTAACAAAGATTTCCAACATAAGGGATGGCCTTGTAATTCAATTTCGCATCATTATTTGGAGAGGCGCGTGTCGGATCGTAAAGCACGAGGGCGCATTACAGACAGCTTGAATGCGAATTTCAAAAGGCTTCCTGTTGTAGTGGTCAAAACATTGCACCACTCAGGAAGAAGCAGCGCTGGGCAAGGTCAGCCAACAAAACATTTCCTTTAGTGCAGAAGCTGTTCGTCAAAACACGTTTGAAATGTTTCGTACACTGCTGATAATGCGTTTCTTTCTGCAAGCACTCAAAGTGAAACAATTCCAATTACTGTGATGTCCACACATGCTTGCACTAACATTTCTGGGCTAATGTAAAGCAGAGAGGCGAAGCTGATATCCCCACTGAGCGTCCCCGGTATCTAAACCGGCGCTGGATAGCGGGCTAATTAGCCATTAGCCGTATCCTTTGTTTGTTTGTACCACTGCGCTCTCTGATGGGCTGCATCATGGCTCAGTAAGCCTTTGCACACGGTAAATCGCATGTCCCTGGATGGCTCTCGCCAGTCCACACCCCATGACTGAGCATGACTGCATCCACCCTTCCGTATGCTATACAGACAAACTAGAGGGTGAGGTTGAGGGTTGGGAACGCAGGTTTTCAAGCAGGCCGCTGACGCTTTTGGGTGAATAAGCCATGAAGTTCTTTTTTTACAGAACTAGACATTTTTTATTATTTCTCAAATTTTGGTTATGAGAATTTGGGGAGGAAATGTGTAAAAAAAAAAAATCTAAATATATTATATAAAATTGTTACCATAAATGCATGAATGTCACGCCATTCGTTATGACATATCCGGGTCTTTAGCGACCCGGATCTATATCTAACACTCATGGATCTCTACCTGTTGCAATAATATAAAACTCGGACTGATGTCAAAGTAACTATTAACCCTTAAAGACCTATACGGCCGCCGACTGTTGTTCTTAAATGATAAAGAACCTTTGAACCGCTACTCCAATCCGTATGCTTTAAAAAGTCCCATAAAGAGGAGATTCACGGCTTTTCTGTGATATCTGTATTAATCGCGTTTGGACATTCAGAAGCTCCGTTGTGAACGTGATTGCGTGATGACGCATTGATTCGTCAAAGAACCCAATCAGGTTCCTCTGAGCCAATCAGGAATGACTGTTGATGCTTAGTCCCACCCTCATGCCCAGATTGGTTGAAACTATCATCTACTCAACCAATAAACATAGTTCTTGGTCTTTTGCACGACTAATTAGCATCTTTCTTTGAAAATTTGAACTGAGGTAAAGTGAAAGTAGATCATTTAGGCTATGTGTGTGTTTGTGTGTTTATATATATATATATGGTTTATTTTGCTTCAGTGTTCTATTACAATGTTTCTATTTATTTTACTTAATAAACTTTTTTGGACACATCTAAATTGTCAGGAAATAAAAAATAGCAGCTTTTTCACTGAAATTCGCCTAAAATAATTGGATTGTTACATGTAGTTAAAATTACATCTGAAAATATAAAATATCCAAGTACAGCTTTCTAAAGGAAAAAATCCAAACTCCAGGAGGATTTGTTTGAGTTGAGTAAAAAAAAAAAAAAAACTAAAAATATGCTGTCGTTTTTCTTAAATCTGGTAAATTCATCCATTCTTAGACAAAATAAATATAAAATTGGATTATTTAAATGATACAGATTGAAACTTCAAGTGACCGTAACACTGATTTTTGATTGCGTTCAGTTCTTGCTCTGCAGTAAATCGCTAAGTTTTGCTGACGATACTCCCTATTATTTTGTTTTCTGCCTGCGATAACTATGAGTGAAACGTCACTTCATCATTGTGTATCAGAAATTGCCACCTTGGGGAATAAAGGTGAATTGCATTCAGTCATTAAAGATTCAATTATTGTTGTCCAGAAACACCTCAGTTTGTTAGCGACCCTATACAATTTTTACAACAAAAAAAATGAATGGGAAATCTAATTGACATTTTTATTTTTATGTATATGATGTCTAACCTCATATACTTAAAATATGAGGAGGGGGCTAGTAAATGACGTCCCAGGTCACTAAAGTTTTAAGTGCTAAAATATTTTAAAACGATATTTAAAAAAAATATATTAAAACATCTTTTCTTGTAATGTTGGTGTAAAATATGACATCTTGACGGGTTTTGTGAGATTGACCTGTTCGCAGCCCATTTTCTGGCCCTGTTGACCTCATTGGGTTCGACAGCCCAATGGTTTGAGAGCTTCGTGTCATTAACGAAGCAAATCCATTCCCAGCCCAAAACGAGAAATAACCAAGGTGAGGTCATAAATATTTTGCGGAGGTTGTAAATAATGTCAGTGTATTTGATGCAAATAAATTATTGATGCGCAGATTGAATGGCATTGCGATAACAAACCGTTCAGGTTGTCCGCTAATGAAGGCGGTCGGCCAATCAGTGAGAATCAGGACTAAAGAACGTGACAGCTAATCAATGTCTACCGGTTCCTTCACCCATTTGGCAAGCAGCAAATTTCTTTCATCATTCTCCCTCTGACATTCAGCCTTCTCCCCCTTTGCGGTGTAAAAGACTGTTTGTTAGCTAGCTAGCCACGCCACGCTTTTTCATGCTCCTGACAGGGTTGTGACCAGGAGGGTCGACAGTCCTAAGATAATGGCCAATTAGACCCAATGCATCTCTACGAGACCAGGTAGAGTGTGGCATTGGGAACCTTTACGGCAAACGGAAACTGCATTTCAAACTGGGTGGAAGACGGAATCCCTTAACAGCGCAGCCCACTAACACCAACCTGTTACCAAGACATGCTAACAACCATAATGGTGTCACCATGGCGACAAGAGAACGGAAAGATGTTAATGTGGAGCTTGATCGTAGGACCCGCAGGTTTCACTTCAACGGCAATTTAAATCACATATGAAAATCACATTCTCTGATGTGGACGTTTATCACAGCGAGTGTCATTTACATAAAACACCACGCTTAACTGTATTACAGATAGGGTGTAAAAAAATTTTCAAAAGTATTAGTTTATTAGGGTCGACTAGTGTTATTATATTAGTAGATGACTTGGCAAGTCAATGTATACTTTATGTAAAGGAAAAAATGTAATTGACATTTGATTAATTTCAGGAAATTTGATTTAAATGTATGTTTTTTTATGTTTTTTAAAAGAAGTCTCTTATGCTCACAGAGGCTGCATTTATTTTATACAAAAATACAACAAAACATAATATTATGAAATATTATTACAATTTTAAAATGTATTTTAAAACGTAATTTATCCCTGAATTCTTTTAGCATCATTACTCTAGTCTTTGGTGTCACACGATTCTTCAGAAACCATTCTAATATTTTGATTCGCTGCTCAAGAAACTTTTATTAATATTATCAAAAATCTTACCGATCATGTATATACACACACACACATATATATATGAAATTGTGTATGTTTAATTGTATATATATAGCCCATTTGACATGTTAATTTAGTACAAATATTTAAAAAAGCAATTAATCTGTGTCTGACCCGTATGTAAATTCCGCAATGACTTAATTCATTTAATTAAGCAATTTATTTGATTGACAGCATTGTTACTGTATAAAGGGGCAGCATGCAGCTGCATTAGGATGTGAAGCATCTTTGCAGGCCCTAAATGATATATGACTTCCTAATAATAGCTAATCTCACCTTCTTTGCACTCGAGAGCGACTCTAGACTCCAGGTTGTCCATTTGTAGCTGGAGTCGTTTGAGTGTGCGGTCAGCGTCGCGGGACTTGCGCTTGTATGCGATGAGCACAGCGATGATGACCAGCAGCAGGAGTCCTCCGCCTCCTCCGATCCCGATGATGGCAGGCAGGGTGAGAAGGCTGTCGGAGTAGATCTGCAGCGTGCCGGGGGAATATTCAAACCCTCCTGCCCGGATCTGTAACAGAGGCACGGAAGAGACCTGACTCACTGAGGCAGGAAGCGAATGTGTAGCGGCCTGCGATCTGCAATTAGCTGCGATTAGCATTCATCATGTTGTTGGGGCAATTCATTTGTTAGAATCTACTTTTTGCATCAAGAATGCAACAGCAGCTTCACACAAGTCCCAAATTAAAACTTTATGAGCCAATCACATTTATGAGACAAGCTCGGGAGATTGAAAACCCATTTAGTTCAAAACGCTCTATTATTACTGGATCATTTCAAGCTTGAATTTTCAAAAACAGAAGATTTAACCTTGTGATTGTTTACACAGCTCTGTCTTGGCAAAAATCAATTCACATAATGTCAAGGTTTTTTTTTGTTTAGTTTTTTACCTTAAAAAGTGTTTTTACACCAGGGTTAAATGTTTAAAACTATATATATATATATATATTAGGGCTGTCAAATGATTAATTTTTTTTAATCGCAATTAATCGCAGAAGCTTCATAGTTAACTATTTCATAACTATACTTCATAGTTAACTATATATATATATATATATATATATACTGCATACAGTGGGTACGGAAAGTATTCAGACCCCCTTAAATTGTTCACTCTTTGTTATATTGCAGCCATTTGCTAAAAAAGCCATTTGCTAAAATTAAGTTAATTTTTTCCCTCATTATTGTGGGGGAAAAAAACAGAAAAACACAAAACTGTTGACATTTTTGCACATTTATTAAAAAAGAAAAACTGAAATATCAAATGGTATTTCCACAGCAAATGGCTGCAAAATAACAAAGAGTGAAAAATTTAAGGGGGTCTGTTTATATATATATATATATATATATATATGTATGCATGTGTATATGTATGTGTGCGTGTGTGTATATATATATATATATATATATACACACACAGTATATATTACATTCAAAGGAAGGAAATATGTGTTATTACAGAATTTATGTATGGTTTAGACAGAATAATAGGTATATATATATATATATATATATATATATATATTATACTGTGTCTAACCCATATGTAAATTCTGTAATAACTTTATATCACATAAATCCTTTGAACCTCTCCTCAACAAAGCACACAATTTGAGGTATCATTCATATCTGTATCACAAACAAATGATTAAATTAATTTCGTTGGGTTTAGGGGTGTTGAAATAAAGTGAAGCGCAAACAGCGCATAATATAAATCTGTGGAATTGAACTACAAGAGAACTCCACAGCAGACATTACGTGACTGTATGTATTGCATCGCAGGCGTTGTGTGCTGTCTGCAAAACTGCAGGGACCCCTGGGAAGGCATGGGGTCAAAGATCCCAGCCATGCAAAAGTTCCTAGAGACTCTCTAACAGGGGTCACAGCAGTCAACGCACAGCTGTGTGATCAGCACACTCACATGATCACATGTACACACACGACTAATTCTCACGTAAAGGCCAAAAGATACAGAAATCACACACACTGAGAGCTGCCAGACGTGATCCATTGCACCAAGGGCGGCCCATAAGTAGGTCAATGTACATGGGACAAGAGCACAGCTGTGTTTGCCTCTCCCTGGCCTGGCTTCACGTCGCCTCTTAGTGCCGCACGCGGATTGCAACACAAAGAGACACGTCTATTTTTGAACCAGCATTTTTCAAAGAGCACTTGTAAAAACATATATTTCATACAATTTCTCTCAATCCAATGTGACATTTGCTGCAAAAATAATACGAATGCAGAAAACAGGCGTAAATATTTTCCTTCTTGAAGCATTCTGCTTTCAGAGCCATCACAACGAATGACATGCTACGAGAAGATGAAGAGTGTCCTTTCAAGACGTTTTCCTTCGGCGGGGCACTGGGTTGGTGTCAAGTTCATTTCTGACTGCCAGTTGTCATTTCTGATCTTTTGACATTTGGTGAGAGTGAACTTGAGGATCTTGAGTACATACCGTCACTTTGTGCTGGCCGGTGAGGTTGGGCCATTCGCACAGCAACTGGGTCTCAGAGAGAGTCAGGACACACGGCGTCTCTCCGATAAACACGGTGTAGTTCAGTCTGGAGTTACCAGGAGCGACAGGTATCAAATTACGACCCTGCAATGATGAATAAAAAAAGAGATAATCAGATATGGGGAAAAAAAGCAGAAGCAAATAATATTACAACTAACATGCATTGCTTTTTTGACATGATTCTCATCAGGGCTTTCATTTGAGCTTCACCTTTAACAGCATCAACTGCGCAAATATAACTAATTTCCATTAAAAAACTATTACTGCAAATTTTCTTTGTAAAGAGATAAATAATTTAAGTATTACTAAGTAATATATTTTTATATATATTATGCAGAAATTTAAGTTGAACATTTTATATTTGCATTTATTATTATTATTATTATTATTACAAATAAACATTTTATATTATATAAAAATGTAATAAAACATGAATCAATAAAAATATCAATAAAATATAAATAGTAGACACACGCACACAAACACTATAACAACATCCAGTTTGAATAGGGCTGTCAAACGATTAATCGCATCCAAAATAAAAGTTTGTGTTTAAATAATATATATGGGTGCACTGTGTATAATTATTTTGTATATATATATATATATATATATATATATATACACACACATGCATGCATATTTAAGGAAAAAATATTATTTATATATAAAATATTCATATTTATATATATAATATAAATTATATATAAATCTATATACAGTATATACATGAAAATATTTCTTAAATATATATAAGCGTGTGTGTGTGTATATATAAAATAATTATACACAGTGCACCCACATATATTATGTAAACACAAACTTTTATTTTGGATGCGATTAATCGCGATTAATCATTTGACAGCCCTCATTTTTAATAATTAAAACAATATAAATTAAATACTTTAAAACATAATAAACAAATTAAGTAAAAATAATACATTTATACGTTTAAATTGATATATTTTTTTGTGTTGACAGCAACAATAAAAATATGAAAAATGTGATGTCTATAGAAGGTTCATTGACATTAAGCTGAAAATGTGCTTTAAAGCACCAGAATGGGTTTTCAAGATAATATTGATGGACTATTTTATGTGTGAAATAAATTTAGCATCACACAACCTTGAACACGTAAAGGTCATGTAGATATTGATTTAAAAAAAGCAAAGAAAACCCCAGAGGCTTGAACAGATATCCCGTGACTGATCTCCTCAATGGAGATAAACAGTAAGGAAAATAAAGGACGGAAATCTCTGCAGCCACATGAACGGACGGGACGGGAAAGAGAAATGTTGACAGCAAAGCACCAACACCCCCCCCCCCCCCCTCAATCCCCCCCCAATCCCCATCCTCAGGGTTCAATGATGCCGTGGCACGACGCTCTTTAATGCAAATTCCGCTCCCTCTCCCCTTCTCATCTCGTTCGCGCCACCAACCCCAGATCAAATTAGATGAGAAATTAATTGCGTGGAGAATGTGATGCGTCTCCAGAATATCCCTGATTATTTCACCAAATTGCATTTCGTATTTTCCTTCGCTTTGCTAATGCACCGGGTTGTTTTCTCTCCCCCCAATAAGCCAGACGGGGGATCGGGCATTAAGTAAAAAGGTTTCGTTAATAAATTTTCATTTAACAAAGAAATATCACCCGACATGCTTCGACTCTCACCTCAGTTGGTTTAAAGCAAAGAGAAGCTTTCATTACAGGCAAAACCAGCTGGTATCTGTGATCAGCGTTTTTAAGTTTAGAAATGAAGGAATGAAGGAAGTTGAAAGTATGGACCAGAAAAATCAATAAAAAAAGATGAGAGAATCAGATATCAGTTGTTATTAGCTATTTTAAAGCTACACTGTGTAACTCTTTTAGTTTATTCTTAGCTAAAAACACTTAGTTCTTTCATAAATATATGTGCTCATTAATGTATATTTACTTCGTTCAAGTAATAAAGTATTCTCGTGAGTGTATAATATGCCATTGAAAATACATACGGGTAAGGGGTTCTAATGTCGCCCCTCCATCTTGAAAGTACATTAGCCAAAGAGGGACATACCCATTAATTCAAGCTTCGCCTTTCGCGTTTACGTTTCAGTTAACACTCATGGACGAGGTCAAACTGGAAGCCATGTTAATCTTGGACTACATTGGCCACCGTAGGAGTTAAAAACTAAATCAGAATTGAGAGGAACAGATACTAATATTCACTGGATGGTCATATACCTTTTCACCGCTAGATGGGGGTAAAAATCACACAGTGTAGCTTTAAAGTGTACTCGTATGTGTGGAAGAAGGGGGGACATGATCAGTAAATGACTCCAACTCAAATTGGCCACAAGAACCTCACATCAATGCCCACAATCCATCGACACCTTGACTTATACCTTCAGGATGAGGGGGGATGTTGGTTTGAGCTCCAGAATGCCTGTGGGACTGAGGGGTTCAAACACGGGGTCCGGGTAGTAGCTAAAGCTCTCGTTGACGACCACAAGAGCGTGGACGTTATCCATGTAGAAGCCGATCTCATCTGGTCCGCTGCCGGTCTCTGCAAAGCCTCTCTCTGAATCAGCCACCGACGGGGCCAGGCAGACCATTACTGAGTTGTTGAAAACAGTGCAGTTCTGAGTAGAAGAGGAACACAGAGAGACAAAACTTTATAAAACTGCAACATTTGGCCAAAAACATTTCAGGACTGTGCAAAAAAAGAAAGAAAAAAAAAACGGAGAGAGCCTCTAAAGTGTGCGGTGGGTTTAGTGGGGGGTAATTGAGATTGAATGGGTGGAAAGTCATGTGAGGCAATGCCTCCATCACACTATGATTGGATGTGATTGGTTCATGCGATTGGTTCATGGTTTTGATTGGTTCATGCGATTGGTTCATGCTCGTTTTCATGCATGTTCCACGTTCGCGAATTAGTCTGAATGAACAAAATGACGGCATTAATGGGAAGACTAATTAAAAAGTATGAAAGCCTGAAAACATGATGACCATTGGGGTTTTAGCGAGCAATCAACTTGGTAAAATTAAAGATACATCTCTGTGTCTGTGACCAGTGTTTCCCGAGTGATGAAAATAAGTTGACAGTTGAACATCAGTCCACAAATAAAATGTGGTTTAAATAGTTACTGCCTTTAGTTATGTGTATATATATATATATATATATATACACACACACACACACACTAACAATGTAAATAATTTCATTCAAATATTGAATTGATTGACCTTACTTATTAAATGGTTACAGCAAAAGCCATGGCAGATATACTTAAAATGTTACATAAAACAGTTTGTTAATGTGATGTTGAAAACACACGGGTCATTTAAACAATGGGACAGTAAGAATTGTGTAGAAAATGAAACAGAAAGACATTTATGAGACCTTTCCCAAGATAAAAATGGTGGTTAGGATTGTGTGCCTCTTTTATGGAGTCATTTAAGCGATAACAGTGCCAGGAGAACAAGGCTGACTGAAAAAAAGTGGGAATACAAGGGAAAAATATATGGCTAGTGGTGTGGAAGGAAGAAATATCAGGAAAGAAGGAGGGAAAAAAGGATACTTACATGGAAGGACTCGGCTGAGCCGTACTTGGCGCGGATTTTGGGTTCTTTAATGGTGGCCAGGTTGGTGCCGCTGATCGTCAGCAGAGTCCCACCGCTGGGAAGAGAAACAGGAAGTCATCATCGAAACATAATGGGTACAGATCTCACACAATAACCCAATCATACAGTCTAGCTCAAGACTTGGCCTTGAAATCTGAAGAAATATCAGTCTACCAAGCTTTTCATCCCAAAGGGAGGTAAAACAGAGCAGAGGTAATATATCCCATAATCACTTTTGGCGATGAGACACAAAAAGGATTTTCGCGAAGAGCCGGGAGTTTAAGGACATTCCACCTCTACATATTCGGCACTCGTTCCATAAGTCATAAAAGAGGCTGAGATTAGGTGGTGTGGTTATTCAGAGCCCATCAATTCAAAACTAGTGTTTTATAGCTTTCAGTCAGTGGGTGTTAGCTTCAAGGCTAACTATATGCTAGTGCACTTCTGTTCTCATTTAAAGTCTTTCATTTCTGTAAGATCAAATCTACTAAGATATTTTGAGACATCTTGACTGAGAATGTCCCTCCCATAAATGGAAATGCAATGGCAAGTCCCTCCCATAAATGACCCATAAATCTTTGTTAACTTGCAATGGCAAGTAGCAAATTGACAATGCTAACTTTATTTCTTTTCGCAACCATCAATTGGACACAAACAAACACATTAATTGTGAAAGTGGTCTTTTAAATGCAATTTTGCCAGTCTGTGATACTGTAAACTAAATGCTACTGGCTATTTAGAAAAAAGATAAAGCTCTTGAACCTCATCCTGCCCCAGCTTCTAGTTTCAAAAGGAAATGTGTCAACCCTGCAGCTCAGTTTGTCTAACCGGGTGTTTGGAGACCTGTTCGTCCACAGCACACTATATGTGTGGAGTTCTTTCCATCTCTTTCTATAGTCCATAGTCTGTCTGACTGAGTAAAAATCCCTCTTAACTCAGATACAAGCTTCAGATAACAAGAAAAAGGACACTCTGCCTACAAATAGATCCTCTATCTACCACTGAGAAGATATCTCATTCCAGTCACAATGCTTGCCACTATGCAACTGTACAGTTCATGTATTGCAAGCATGCAGTCCTGCTCTTTTTATTATCATGGCTGCAACCAACCTCAATACTCGAGAGGACAAAAGTGTTACCTTCAAATGACATCAAATCAGTTTAGCTAATTTGAACTAATATACTCAGCAAAAATCTTCAGTAGTTGATAATAGTTAACAGGCTTCCTTGCTTCCTTCCTTCCTAACTTCCATCCTTCCTTCCTTTTTTCCTTCCTTGCTTACTTGCTTCCTTCTTTCTTTTTTCCCTACCTTTCTTGCTTCCTTCCTTCCTTCCTTCCTTCATTTTTTCCTTCCTTCCTTGCTTCCTTCATTTTTTCCTTCCTTCCTTCCTTCCTTCCTTCCTTTTTTCCTTCTTTGCTTCCTTCCTTTTTTCCTTCTTTGCTTCCTTCCTTGCTCCTTCCTTTTTTTCCTTCCTTCCTTCCTTCCTTCCTTCCTTCCTTCCTTCATTCCTTCCTTCCTTCCTTCCTTTTTTCCTTCCTTTCTTGCTTCCTTCCTTCCTTTCTTCATTCCTTCCTTCATTTTTTCCTTCCTTCCTCCTTTTTTCCTTCATTCCTTCCTTCCTTCTTTCTTTTTTCCTTTCTTTCTTGCTTCCTTCATTCCTTTCTTCATTCATTCCTTCATTTTTTCCTTCCTTCCTTTTTCCTATATTCCTTCCTTCCTTTTTTCCTTCCTTTCTTGCTTCCTTCCTTCCTTTTTTCCTTCCTTGCTTCCTTCCTTTTTTCCTTCTTTTCTAGCTTCCATCCATCCATCCATCCATCCAATTTCAATAATTTTGCATATATATATTTCAGTCACATACACTCTTAGAAGAAAAGGTTCTATCATTTGGAACCCCTAAAAGGTTCTATACACTCTTAAAAAAAGGGTTCCTCTGGGTTCTATATAGAACCCTGGGGTTCCAAACTTGGCCAATAGAACCTTTTACCAAAAAAAATGGTTCTATATAGAACCATTTTGGAGTTCCATATATGAAGCGGGGGATGGAACCATTTCTGGTTCTAAATAGAACCATTTCTTCTAAGAGTGTAGAGTGTTTAGAGTTTATCAGCAGTATAAAACGAATGAAATCAAGCTCCTGTAGTTAGTTTTGCGAGTTTGGAGCCTTTACTGTTCTTGGTTTCTTTCACGTTTGTCCTAACTTTGGTCTCTTGGCATTTGTCTGTATTTGATGATGCAATATGTACTTTTAGATTATGTTTTTTGGCTGATCTAAACACTAAATCGTTTCATGATCCCAATTTGCCCAGGGTTCCCTATACCGACATCTTCCGACAAAACACTTGTGTTCACAAGCTTGTTGACATAGACGGTTTGTGAGTTTGAGTCTCACACCGTAGCGCTGCTGCTGTCTCTGCCTGTTTGCCTCTGTGACACCTGCTGTGTGCCGTGGCCCTGAAGGGCATTTTCAGCTCAAATCAATACAGCTTCTCTCAGTGCTCACTAACAGGCGCTGGGGCCACAACTTTTGGATTTCAGTAATGTCTGTTCAAGCTAAGGGCGACTTCTGCACAGGCGCAGTCGTTTCTGGTTCTGCTTTGATCCCTGAGTGTGTGTGTTTGTTTTTCAGAGGCAGATGGAAGGGGGGAAAGGTACTATGGTATAGACTCCTGCGGGATAATAACCCCGTTCAAAGCAGGGCACGGTGGAGAAAGAACACGCTTGACTGTAATGGCCTGGGTTAGCATCAGAACACACAGTCACACAGATACTCAGTTGAGAGTATGTGTGTTGTGACAACTCACTATTTTGTAGTGCTGTCAAAAATATCAAAATTTCGATAAACATCGATACTGAACGGTACCAATACTAATTTCCCGAAGTATCGATACTAGCCGAGCGTTCGCTTTCACTTCACGTTGACAAACACCACACGTGACGCACAAGTGAATGGAGAGATGGCGAGGGCGGCACTTCTGCAACCAGCTTTGGTTGATTGTTAAAAATTGATACACCAAAAATTGATAAACATCGAAAATGGTATCGAATATCGATATTTTTCAAAGTATCGTATCGAAGTTAGAAATTATAGTATCGTGACAACACTACTCTTTTATTACTATAGAACATTTATATATATATATATATGAAGAGTTCAGATGCAAAAGCCTCTAAGTGCCATTTGAAATTTTCTTCTAGAATGATCATTTTTATCAAGCTTGTATATTTTAAATTCAGTAATTTTACTTAAATTGCAATGAAGATTACCTATTAATTGTCATTCAAGTGAAATTACTGAACTTGAATATTTAAGCTTGATAAAAATGATCATTTTATAAGAAAATTTGAAATGGCACTTAGAGGCTTTTGCATCTGAACTCTTCATATATATATATATATATATATATATATATATATGCTGAGACTTGCTACTGCGAATACTTTCACAGACATTGCTGTGTCATGATGTAACATACATGAAATAACCTCAGTGTCAGATCTATACAGGTGGAGCTGGGGAAGGTGGAGGGTTTCTGAAAGTGGGCTGCACTGCTGGTATTTGAGTGTTTAGCCGCAGCTCATTGGCCTATGATGCAACAGCAACCAATCAGCTGCGCTACGTAGATGACGACGTGATTGCTACCAGATGAGTTAAGGACCTATCGGACTGCGCCATCTAATGCCAGAACTTAGTATACATATGGTAGGAGCATTATAACCTGGACCAGATATAAGAAATTATTCAAATATTGTTTTAAAAGCAAGGAAAAAAAAACAAAAAAAAAAACAATAACAATTGCTAGACACAGATACATGCTAAGTGCAAAAAGTCAACAGCGTTGCTGTATAGCTTTAAATAAGTCACCTTTTTGCTCTCAAAAAGCATACCGCTGACACCACACAAAGGTAAATAAGAAAGTAAGTGATAGAAAGAGGGGGAGTGTTGAGAGCTTCTTTTCATCTACAGGCTTTTAAAGAGCTCTCTCTATAACCTGCAAGAGAAGCGAAGATGCAGGTGATAAGTGCTCCATCCTGCCTGCCCCATCTGACACCGCTGATGGTGTTTCTATAGACTTGTTGTTTTTATTTCACCCCCGACACCGACAGGCCAGACATGCTTTAGTGCAAATCACTGCTCCTCCCTGGAAAGATGCGGAAATAAAAAAACAACATCACCTGACAGCAGCTCTGCTCACAGGTGCAGAAGTCTGATGGCGTGAAGGGAGCGACGCCTAAAAGAATCTCATTTTTCAACCTCTTAATGAGTTCTGCTCATGTGTCAAGAGAAAGCGGAACACAAATAGCTCCGTATTGATTTTTATTACTTCTTTGTAGTTCCAACGTCCTTCAGCGAGGTAGGAGGAATTGCTACATTTTTAATTTCGCCATTTTTATTAAGAGGGGAAGTAGTGAGATGACAAAGGTACTGAGAGACAAAGTGTGTCGGATTTGAACCTGTGACTACCACATGAACACCACAGCAATGTGTTTTGGAGCACATATGCTAACCACGGGCCATGGCTCTGAAAAAAATAAAAAACAACAACTACATTTGAGTGTTTAGTGAAAGTGAGTGTTAGTGAAGGGTGTAACTTTTTACAATCCAATGTACAAATAAAAAATTTGTGTCAGCAATATTTGGGCTGTTGAGGTTTGTCTTGTGGCGCACGTAGCATATTTAGCTAACTGCCAACCAGTGTTGTAGTCGAGACCACCTCACTCGAGTCGAGACCGAGACCAGAGAGAGTCGAGTCCGAGTCAAGACCGAGTCCATAGAGAGTCGAGTCCGAGACCAGAGACGGTCGAGTCCGAGTCGAGACCGAGACCAGTGAGGGTTGATTACCTAATTTACTTTTATTTACTTAGAGAAATCCTTTTTTTATTTTACTGAATTTACTTAGAGTTTAAAAAATATGATCAGTTTAGGGTAAAAAGGCCACATAGTAGGTGGTGTTAAAAGTAATTTTATTACAATTTGTTGCGCACTAGAAAATCACCAATCACTGGGCGTGTCAATCAATTTAAAGAAATATTTTATTAACATACATTAATAATCATGAAAAATATTTTGAATTGAACTCGAGTCCTAAAAAAAAAAATGTTCGAGTACGAGTCAATTCCGAGTCCAAATGCACACGAGTCCATGACAAGACCAAGACCATTAAAATATGGTCTCGAGACCGAGTCCGAGTCTCGAGTACTACAACACTGCTGCCAACTGTTTTAAAGGCATTTTAAACAAACCACAAATGGTTTTATCATATATTTGTGATGTGTAAAATCTACAATAAAATGACATACAGTACATGCTACTTAATCTGATTGCTTTTAGAGGGAAAAGCTGCTCATTACTGCTTGTTTAGGACAGGTTTCTCACTAATAATAGCATATCGGTGAAACAGATTTGGCAAAGTATCCACTGTTTTTGCAGTGTAGTCAATCACAAACATACCTGTTGATTTCCTGAAAGGTGTAAAGTTTTGAGCGGTGAGTGGATTCGGAGTTCTGCGCGCTCGAAAGTGTGGACAGATTCATTGTGCAGTCAGTTGCATTAATTTTAAAGGAATTTTGTGAGATTGCGATGAACTGAGGAGCACTCTTTGAGCACTTTCTGGCATGCCAAATCCCACACACAGTATGCTTGTTTTTCTGTTAAAATTATTAGTGGTTTGTGAATGTGGTCCCTTTAATAACAGAAGTTATCGGGATCGTTTATGCTGGGATGTGTAGGTTGTGCGGTGACGTGTAACTTGAAACTATTTCAAGGAAATCTATTCAAATGTGTTTTTAAAGGGAAGCGCATCTCCTTGCCCTGGAGTTGGTTCACCCTCTGCATATGCGACTGCATTTTTAATTATATATACAGTGTCTGGCCAAAAATGTTTTTTTTTTTCGCTGTTTGGATTTAAATAGGCAAATGTTTAAGAGAAAAAAAATCTAGCATGTTATATGTTTGGCAACAGTTCTTCTAACCCTAATTGTTGGAGTGTCTTGCTTTCATTTTTTAAACAGCCATGTAGGAAGACACATCGTGGCCATATTCCAGGATGTCAAGATGCATCGGGCTCAAATTGTGAAAGAATGGTATAGGGAGGGAGCATGAAGAGTCATTTTCACATGAATTGACACCTATGAGTCCAGAATTTAAATTCATTAAAAGTCTTTTGGATGTGCTGGACTCAATACAAGATCTTCAACAAACATTGATGCACCTCTTGATGGAAATAAATGTTTTTTTAACCCTTGTAAACTGTTCGATTTCTGTGCACACCCTTTATGGACTGGGTCAAATTGACCTTAATTGGATTCAATACAATTCCTCAAAAATCACACTATGAAAAACAACAAAGATTTACATACAAACTGTAAACTTTTAATAGCAACGTTTGTCAAACATTACAAAACAACATATCTGAAAATATGATTCATGAAAATATTTTTTTTAACCATTTTTAAAAAGTTTTTTTTTACAAAATGTGAAAATAAACAGTATACTGACTTTTATGCAGTTTTAATTTGTTTTATTTATTATTATTATTATTTTACATTTTATGCTTTGAACATCATAACTGAACAATTATATTTAGATGTATAATGAAAATGTTTAATTTCCTGTCAAACTTTGAGAATTTTTGTTTTTCTGCTTTCTATGTTGAAGTCTTGTGCCACACTAAGCAAAATTGTGGGAAAGCTCATTATTCACTCACAGGGGATTGAGAAACCAAACATAACAAAAACATACATATATAATAAATGTTTTTTTTTGTTGTTTTTTTTTAATAAATTATTTGGCTCTGTCATGGTGCATTTGAAAATCATACATAAAAGCTTTGGTTAAATGCTAGGTATTTCAGATTGAATATAGAAATGAGAGCTTATTTTACTTTTATTTTGAAGTTATAATAATAAAAAAATAAATGTTTTTATTTTGTGTCTGTACAGTTGCTTTTGAATGGCTGCCTATGAGGGTCAAATTGACCCACGAACACCACGAACGTAATAATATTATTTTTTGTTTAAGTCAAAACACAGCAGCATGTTCAAACTTTGCATGCATGTTCATGATGATAGATGAAAAAAAGTCAAAAAATATCAAGCAAAAAAACAAAGGTTTAATATTATTTCAGGTAGCTTGAAAAAATAAATGGTACTAATACAAGACTTTCAGTGAATAATGAATGAAATAAGTGTGGAAAAGCAAATTTTTTAGCTTCATACGGTTGTAAAAATACAAAATACAGTACAGTATTACAACGGTACAGGCAACGGTACAGTTGTTTTAGAGCTTTAAAATGTGTCAAAACACATCCGCATGTTGAAACTTTGCATGCATGTTTATCATGATAAATGAGAAAAAGTCACCAATATCAAGAAAAAAAAAACAGATGTTAACCAACAACTAGAAAATGTAAACGGGTCACATTGACCTGTTCACATTGAAGCAATTGCCTATTTAAATCCAAACAGCAACATTTTGTGTATATATGTTTAGGGTATTGGGTAGTATTAAGGGATGTAGAATATGGTCATGCAGAATTAAGGCATTTATATGTACTAATAAACAGCCAATATCCTAGTGATATGCATGAAAATAAGCAACTAGTTAATAGTGAGAATTGGACACTAAAGTGTTCATTTTTAAAAAGGCTGCATGATTGGCACTGTTTAAAGGGTTAGTTCACCCAAAAATGAAAATTAAGTCATTAATAGGTGGTTTGCAGTCACATGATTGTATTGACGCGCGGAACGCAGATGGAGGGCAAGGAGTGAAGAGCGCAATGGACGAGATGGAGGAAAATCTGTACTGTACTACTTTAGACGCTATTACAAGAGAAATATATAAACAGAAAATCGAAACATATGTTGGACGTGATCCTTACGTTATGAAGAGGACCGATTTTCAACTGAATTGAGAGATTTGCCTTCCATCGAGGCTGTATAGCAACTAGCTCGTCTTACAGACATACTTTGACTTTACAAACTAAGTTCGGAAACTGCTATGTTACACAAACAGCCACATAAGTGTATTTAAACACCTGAATAATGTAATTATAAGCCACATAAATATTAACTCACAGTTGACGAAGTGATCACTGCGCACACACACACAGGCATTTTCCCATTCGGCTCCTCCCGACCGCAGACGTAGGTTTAAAAGGCATTTTCCCGGTGTTTTTCTGTCAATTTCTTGTATTTTCCACCCTTATGAACAACAACGTTTGGCACACGCTAAAAACTCCTCGTGGTTTGATCGATTTGAGCAACCATAAACGACGCAAAACATAGGCATTTTGAGTGTGTTAAAGTGCTTCCTAAATATAGAAATCACTTCCTGCCCTCCATTTGCGCTTCGCGCCATGGCAACGCAGTTGCGTGACGTCACGTGAAAACAAGCTATTACTCACCCCCATGCTGTTCCAACCCCGTAAGACCTTCGTTCATCTTCGGAACACAAATAAAGATATTTTTGATTGAATCTGAGAGCTAGATCAGTCCTACATAGACTGCCTAAGGGACTGGCTCTTGACGGCCCATAAAGTCATTAAAGAAAATGTTTAAATATTCCATGTGCCTACAACGGCTCAATTATAAGTTTATCAAGCGACGAGACTACTTTTTGTGCGAAAAAAACACAAATAACGACTTTATTCCACTATTCCATTACTTCCTTATGGGCGCATGCGCGAGAACTGAGACGAGGACGTTCTCATTCGTCTACTTCTTAGGAGTTTTACCGCCCCCTACCGTATAAAATGATGATCCATATATAAGGCGCTCCGGATTAAAAGGAACACTGTCGTGTTCCTTGTGTCAGAACACATGCACAAACCACTAGACCATGGTGCCAACAAACCAACATTGTAGTCATGCTTCCATTCTATTCTGAAGTCACAATGTTGCGATTTTAAATGCTCAAATTACACAAACACAGATTGTGGGCCACTGAACAGTTGTGTCGCCTACCTAGCAATGCTCCAGTCTGGGTCTATCTTCAGGACGGTGGGGTCCTCTGTGTAGTTAAACTTCACATCGGGGTTCCTGAGCTCAGCAGAGTCAATGTCCACCATAACCGGAGTACTTCCTGCGTTCACGCCGGCCGGGGTCACGCACACGATCTCTTTAGAGCTCCGCCTACAGTCATGGAGGAAGCGCAGAGGTGTATTAGGGTGAAAGCAACTGAAATGTTTAGTAATTCTCGTCACAATCAGAGCATAAAGCATGTCATCACATTCATATTTCATCATGACACAGATTCTGCACTCAGTAAGAGTTAAGTTTGTTTGATGAAACTCTATCATTTGTGTTAACAACCATATGGGTTTCAAAGACTTCGGGTCTGTTTTTCTCTGTCTGTCTGCTTCACTCTCTCCTCCTGTACTGGAGACGTGCCTGCAATCACCATGCACATCCCTTTAGTATGTTGCCATGGGAACGCTTTTCAAGATGCACACCCCAGAAATCCTCAGAAGACTGCACATATTTTGACAAGGTGGTTGTCACAAACAAACAACAAAAAAAAAGATGGAAGAGTGCAAATAGAGCGAGTTGTGGAGCGGATAAGCCACAAATTTCCTCAAAGGTAAAATATACAGACATTCAATGAAATGAAGTGCAAAATGCAACCATTGCTTTGGGATATTTTTTTTTTTTTTAGAGATTTTGCATTTTAAATATGTAATTTGGATTACAGACATGTAGAATAAATTTGAATATAAATTCACTGGATATTATGAATGGAAGACACAAAACACACACACACACACACACACACACACACACAAAGAAGAAGCAGGGCATATGAAAGGGATGGTTCAGCCGGAAATTAAGATCTCATGTCTTTTGAAACTCGTTTCTTTTTTTTTTTTGTTGTAGAACACAAAAGTAGATATTTTACAAAATGTCAGAGCTGCTCTTTTCCACACAATGAAAGTGCATTGATAACTATGGTAATAATACAAGACTTTCAGTGAATAATGAATGCAATTTCAGTCTGTTCCTCATACAATGCTATTTTATGGCTTAAAAAGATTTAAAATATAGCCCAAAATGTGTATTCATGATGCTTTCAAGGAATAGTTCACCATAAAATGAAAATCATTTTGTGATAATTTACTCACCCTCATGGTGACTAACTGTATGCTTTTATTTTTTTGTGAAACATAAAACAAAATAGTTGAAATTGTACAGCACTTAGGTACACTGTGGTTTTTAATGCGCTCCAATATTATTTAGTCCCCAACATTCACTGTAAAAATGAATATGCTTTATCTAACCAATAAAATTGTGGCAACAGATTACAAGCAATATTATTTATTAAATTGAACAAATTAGAATTGAGTAATAGTTAATCAAATTAACATTCTAATTAATTCTAATTTGTACAATTTAATTAATAATATTGCTTGTCATATGTTGCCACAATTTTATTGATTAGATAAAGCATATTATTTTTTTCAGTGTTCTTCAAATATTTTAATTTGTGAATTTTGTGAATAGAAAGAATAGTTTAGACAAAGTAAGTAAATGATGACAGAATTTTCACTTTTAGGTGGACTAGTGACACGCTTTGACGGTTTTCCACTGCATGGTATGGTACGGTTCGGTTCGCTACGACACGCTTTGACGCTTTTCCACTGCATGGTACGGTTCGGTTCGCTACGACACGCTTTGACGCTTTTCCACTGCATGGTATGGTACGGTTCGGTTTGCTACGACACGCTTTGATGCTTTTCCACTGCATGGTACGGTACGGTTCGGTTCGCTACGACACGCTTTGACGCTTTTCCACTGCATGGTACGGTTCGGTTCGCTACGACACGCTTTGACGCTTTTCCACTGCATGGTACGGTACGGTTCGGTTCGCTACGACACGCTTTGACGGTTTTCCACTGCATGGTATGGTACGGTTCGGTTTGCTACGACACGCTTTGACGCTTTTCCACTGCATGGTACGGTACGGTTCGGTTCGCTACGACACGCTTTGACGCTTTTCCACTGCATGGTACGGTACGGTTCGGTTCGCTACGACACGCTTTGACGCTTTTCCACTGCATGGTACGGTACGGTTCGGTTCGGTACGACACGCTTTGACGCTTTTCCACTGCATGGTACGGTACGGTTCGGTTTGCTATGACACGCTTTGACGCTTTTCCACTGCATGGTACGGTACGGTTCGGTTCGCTACGACACGCTTTGACGCTTTTCCACTGCATGGTACGGTACGGTTCGGTCTGCTACGACACGCTTTGACGCTTTTCCACTGCATGGTACGGTACGGTTCGGTTCGCTATGACACGCTTTGACGCTTTTCCACTGCATGGTACGGTACGGTTCGGTCTGCTACGACACGCTTTGACGCTTTTCCACTGCATGGTACGGTACGGTTCGGTCTGCTACGACACGCTTTGACGCTTTTCCACTGCATGGTACGGTACGGTTCGGTCTGCTACGACACGCTTTGACGCTTTTCCACTGCATGGTACGGTACGGTTCGGTTCGCTATGACACGCTTTGACGCTTTTCCACTGCATGGTACGGTACGGTTCGGTCTGCTACGACACGCTTTGACGCTTTTCCACTGCATGGTACGGTACGGTACGGTTCGGTTCGCTATGACACGCTTTGACGCTTTTCCACTGCATGGTACGGTACGGTTCGGTTCGCTACGACACGCTTTGACGCTTTTCCACTGCATGGTACGGTACGGTTCGGTTCGCTACGACACGCTTTGACGCTTTTCCACTGCATGGTACGGTACGGTTCGGTTCGCTACGACACGCTTTGACGCTTTTCCACTGCATGGTACGGTACGGTTCGGTTCGCTACGACACGCTTTGACGCTTTTCCACTGCATGGTACGGTACGGTTCGGTTCGCTACGACACACTTTGACGCTTTTCCACTGCATGGTACGGTACGGTTCGGTTCGGTACGACATGCTTTGACGCTTTTCCACTGCATGGTACGGTACGGTACGGTTTGCTATGACACGCTTTGACGCTTTTCCACTGCATGGTACGGTACGGTTCGGTTCGCTACGACACGCTTTGACGCTTTTCCACTGCATGGTACGGTACGGTTCGCTCTGCTACGACACGCTTTGACGCTTTTCCACTGCATGGTACGGTACGGTTCGGTTCGCTATGACACGCTTTGACGCTTTTCCACTGCATGGTACGGTACGGTTCGGTCTGCTACGACACGCTTTTACGCTTTTCCACTGCATGGTACGGTACGGTTCGGTCTGCTACGACACGCTTTGACGCTTTTCCACTGCATGGTACGGTACGGTTCGGTTCGCTACGACACGCTTTGATGCTTTTCCACTGCATGGTACGGTACGGTTCGGTTCGCTACGACACGCTTTGACGCTTTTCCACTGCATGGTACGGTACGGTTCGGTCTGCTACGACACGCTTTGACGCTTTTCCACTGCATGGTACGGTACGGTTCGGTTCGCTATGACACGCTTTGACGCTTTTCCACTGCATGGTACGGTACGGTTCGGTCTGCTACGACACGCTTTGACGCTTTTCCACTGCATGGTACGGTACGGTTCGGTTCGCTACGACACGCTTTGATGCTTTTCCACTGCATGGTACGGTACGGTTCGGTTCGCTACGACACGCTTTGACGCTTTTCCACTGCATGGTACGGTACGGTTCGGTCTGCTACGACACGCTTTGACGCTTTTCCACTGCATGGTACGGTACGGTTCGGTTTGCTATGACACGCTTTGACGCTTTTCCACTGCATGGTACGGTACGGTTCGGTTCGGTATGACACGCTTTGACGCTTTTCCACTGCATGGTACGGTACGGTTCGGTTTGCTACGACACCCTTTGGCGCTTTTCCACTGCATGGTACGGTACGGTTCGGTTCGGTACGACGCGCTTTGAGGCTTTTCCACTGCATGGTACGGTACGGTTTGCTACGACACGCTTTGACGCTTTTCCACTGCATGGTACGGTACGGTTCGGTTTGCTACGACATGCTTTGATGCTTTTCCACTGTATGGTACGGTACGGTTCGGTTTGCTACGACACACTTTGACGCTTTTCCACTGCATGGTACGGTACGGTTCGGTCTGCTACGACACGCTTTGATGCTTTTCCACTGCATGGTACGGTACGGTTCGGTAAGGCACGCTTTGACGCTGTGAGACATCGAACCAACCCGCTAGATTAAAAAAGCCAGTAACAGCCACCGCTGTAGCACCTGTTTTAAAACTACATTCTTGACTTGCTTGAAGAAAAAAGAAAGAAGGAAAACTTCCAAAAAGAAATAGCTACATCGTGGTCAGTGGACGAAGCGCAGACGTTCCTCTCGTTGGTTGCCGAGGAGCGGATAAACTATAACGGTCAAACTATAATCCAATCCACTTTGAAGCGGTACTAACTGCAGTGGAAAAGCAAACCAAGCTAAAGCAAACCGAGCCCTGCCGAGCCGAGTCGAGTCGTACCACGCCGCGGAAAAGCGAAGTGAGCCGAACAGTGCCGCGCCGAACCGCACTGAGCCGTACCAGCAGTGGAAAAGCGCCATATTTGGTCTCCATCCACTTTCATTGTCCTGAACTGAGCAGCATGAACATTGAACATCCAACTTTTCCTTTTGTGTTAATAGCCATACAGGTTTGAAACTACTGTAAGTGAGGGCGAGTAAATGATGAAAGAATATAGATTTTTGAACAAACTATCACTTTCACATCCTCGCACAATGGGTTAACAGGATGTGGACCTTCTCTCTGAAGCGAACCTTGGCTCTGAGACCAGGTGTGGCTGACGTCTCAGTCAGCGAGAACAGCGGTAATCCTCATTCTCTCCTTCTCTCATGTATGAGGCTTGGCAGCGAGACAATGTTTTTTATTCTCCGCTGCAATGCAGAGCGGTCTGGTGCTACAGATAGACAGGCGGACAGCAGGAACACTCATTCACTGTCCCCGTCCACAAACGGAAGCGCACAATCGACCGGGACCGCGTGTGCCATTACGTGGCTGATGTTCGTGCCTTCAAAGTGTCTCTTTATGCTGTAGATATACGCAGAGGGGTAAAAAAAAACCATGGGCCTGGGTTTTTTGACTGACGGAATGACAGGTGGACGTGCTAAGGTGAGAAGCCGGAAGACAGCTTTTTGGAAGGATAAAGATAAAGACAGAGGGAGACAACTTGGCAGACGAATAAGCAGAGAGAGTAAGAGAAAAAGGACCACATTAACAACAAGCAGAGACTGTATATTGGCAAATGCTACACCAAAACAGCCAACAGGCTAACCATCAAAACAACTGGCACAGAGCCTTTGGAGCATATAAAACAGTCAAACAAACAAACACAAACTATGTGACAGACAGAAACAGGAAGTTAGAAAGAAAGCCAGACAGATGGAGGGATAAACCGATAACAAGACAGACAGAAGGGCAGCCAAGCAGAAAATTATGTGGTTTTTTTTTTTCATATATATCTATATTTTGGGACTTTTGCCTTATTAGATAGGTCACAGGATGGACTCGCACTTGGATCACCCAAATGAGCTGAATAATAATTTATATTTTGAATTATTTCTAGGCAGATGCATTTGACATTGTGACTGTCCCCAATATGTTTTCATAATATATACCACTTCATACCATACCAGATGCACAGAAGATATAGAAGAGCAGTACTCACTTTTTGAAGTGACAAGGGTGACGCCCAATGTTGACCCCAACAGAGCTGCCAGCGTTGAGGTGGTTTCCTTCAATAGTGATTCTGGTTCCTCCTGAGAGGGGTCCCTGAGCGGGCTGGACACGTGTGAAGAATGGCGTCTGAGGAAGAAAGTTATACATTGAAGATGTTCATTGTTATTGTCATCTTTTTCAAACGCTATTACTACAAAGTATACCCCTATTGGGCGTCACCCTTGCCACCAACTAACTTCATGCATTCCTGATATACACTACCGTACAATTATTTGCTGTTGGTAAGACTTCAGACATTTTTAAATTAAGTATCTTGTTCTCAACCTGTCTGTTGTAATTAGATTAAAAATACAGTAAAAACGGTAACGTTGTGAAATTTATTACAATCTAAAATATAGTTTTTTATTTTAATATATTTTCAAATGTAATTCATTTCAGTGGTGGGAAACAGATCATCAGTCTTCAGTGTCACATGATCATTCAGAAACCGTTCTAATATGCTGATTTGCTGCTGCTTACTTTTTTTTTGTGGAAACTGTGACAGTGGTTTTCAGGATCATTTATTTGCATTTTTGTGACATTATAAATGTCTATAAATACAATTCTATGTTTTAATAAGTATTAATTTCTTTGAAATGTACTGATCTAAAGCTTTTGAACGGTACTGCATTTAAATATGCATCCAATTTGCATAATTACAACTATCCAAAGGCAACAAGATCTGAATGTGTCTGTAGGATTATGCGTCTCCAGACTCCTAGATGCTCACCACAAAGGTGAATGCCCTGGGTGAGAGGGCTCTGTAGTCAGCCAGGCAGTCTCTCACGCACACCTCCACCTGGGCTTCCTGCACACGGTATCCTGTGGCGTCATTCAGCAGACACACGATCCTGCAGGAGAAAGACGCGTCAGAATCCTCTTTAAGGTTCGTGATTAACAGCAGTGCTAAGTTACCAAAGGCCTCAAGGGGAGGAAGGTGAATGGATGGATTTATATGATACAGCGCAAGTAAATATTATTACCATAATTAATCTGTTTCTGATTTATGAGGCGACCCAGACTGAATCTGCACTTTTTTCTGCACTGCAAGGATTCTTAATTTAGATGTGGTAAAATCTGTTATAATTACTCGATACTTATCAGAACTAACAATATATTAAAAACATACTTTGTAGGTTGACTTTAATAGATCATGCAGTGAAAAGGAGTGTTTCAATGTTTAAAAAAGGCTGTATAAAGGCCTTATTTCGGGTAATTTGCACAACTTAGAAAACTGTTTTATAGAGTTTTTGTCAACTGATATTTTATTTCAAAAATACATTCTCCTCCCATGAACAATTTCCATGATGTTAAACAACAGTAGGCTACAATCCATTAAACACACTGTATTTCTACCGCTATCTATATCTTCAAGTATTACCCACCTTTCCGCACTAACATATTCCTCTTCAATAGGAACACAGGGTACTTTTCCCAGCCGAACACCTGTCATAATGTCTCTGAACTGAAGACCCAGATTCTCTCCAGTGATGGTGAGCCTGGTTCCGCCTTGTCGTGGTCCGGTCTCTGGAAACAGCTGTCAAATGAGGCAAATAGAGTTATTAGTTTGATTAGAGATGGAGAAGGAGATTTAAAAGACTAAAATACAACAAACCAAATATTGTTTTTGGACTTTTTTTGCCATGATAGAGACAGGAAATGAAGAATAAATAAAAAAGGTCTGGATATTCTGATATCTGTAGACCACATAATGGTCCACAGGTTAGTGCACAGGTCTTGGTATTGAACCCTGTAGCTCCTTATAGTCTCAGAGTTGCAACACAAACTCAGACACCTTGCATTTTAATGGAGACAAATCACCCCTTGGCGCAGGGGAGCAGAAGCCCCTAATGCTGGGCTTGGCGAAACACCTCCCTCCAACCCCCCTCCATCCATCCTCTAATTGAAACTTATTACCCAGGCTCTCGGATCCACGCTTCAGAGCCGCATGGCGCAAGGCAGTGGGATAATGTGATTTATTTAGCCGGATTATTCTCCGTAACGAGGACAGGTGTGGCATGACAAAACAAATATGGTGAATGATGTGCCGTGGTAACAGCAGGACGGCGCCCCATAACAGCCATCATGAGGTAATTTCAGGTACTCTGTACGCCTGATCTCTCGACCACAAGGTCTCCACGGCGACCTGGAGCCAGGCCTCGGCTGCATCACTGCCACAATGGCTGCGGGCCTAGAATGGAGCCTTGAGGTACTCCTATGTGTAAAATGACATTGCATAGAAAACTGAAAATTCAACAAGTTTGATATGAGAAAGTTAAAATAAAATAACTTTCCATAAAATTCAGATTTTTTGTTGGTTGTGTATAGCCAAAGTAACCATAGTCTCAGCCTCACTAAGCACAGAAGAAATGAAGTATACAATGAACAAGTGGACCATATAAATAAAACAGATTTAACTGTCCACAGCAAACCAAATAAAATACAAATATATCTACATATCTATCTATCTATCTATCTATCTATCTATCTATCTATCTATCTATCTATCTATCTATCTATCTATCTATCTATCTATCTATCTATCTATCTATCTATCCATCCATCCATCCATCCATCCATCCATCCATCCATCCATCCATCCATCACCCACACCCACCCACCCATCCATCCATCCATCCATCCATCCATCCATCCACCCACACACAAACCCACCCACCCACCACCCATCCATCCATCCATCCATCCATCCATCTATCCATCCATCCATCCATCCATCCATCCATCCATCCATCCATCCATCCATCCATCCATCCATCCATCCATCCATCCATCCATCCATCCATCCATCCATCCATCCATCCATCCATCCATCCATCCATCCATCTATCCATCCATCCATCCATCCATCCATCTATCTATCTATCTATCTATCTATCTATCTATCTATCTATCTATCTATCTATCTATCTATCTATCTACCTATCTATCTATCTATCTGCTTTTTCATTTGGTATCTTTTTGTTTTGCCCCTGTCAAACCAACATTCCCCTTGATACCACGGGTACATGTATTTCTTTTAATTTAACTACATATCATTGCATTCACATTCTAATTGCAATTCTGCATCCTGACTGCAACCTCAAAATAAATTCTAATCAAATTCTGAGTTGGAATTTAAAAGGCATTTTCAATTCAGTTCTGAATGTTGTGTAACTCTGTTTGCATTCATAGCTGGCAAGAGTTGACCAGTTAAAAAAAATGTTTTGGCTGACTTCATACAACTTCCTTATGCCTGGAACAAGGTAAGAGCAGTGATATAATGAGCACTTTTGAAGAAGAACTATTCACTGGATTCGCCAAATTCCCCAAACAGCACTCAAAAACATGCCGCCGCTGGTCGCATCACACATCGATCAAAACAAGCCGAAATGTGGACCAGACTCTATGCCATGCATTTTTGGCAATGCAAAACTTACAGTAAGTAATCCCAGGAACTGGTCAGTACGGTTATAACGCCTCAGACGGTAAACTGTACTGTCAATGCAACAACCCGAGTATCAAAATAAATGCAAGCTGTATTGATAGAACATGTACTGTAAACCATCTAGTCTTGACCTGAAAATCACAGAATTTCGACTGAAGACTGTCGCTCGGGATTCCACTAAAATTAACCTACATTAGATGTCTTTTATTATGTTAAAAAAAAAAACAATTTATACGTTTCTAATTAAATCAGCCTTAGAGCGAAATGATAGATAAAAATAATATCTCTCAACACGAGTGGGAGAACACTAATATACACACACGTTCTCCCCCAGGACCTTGTTAAATTACACACAGTTAAGTAAATCTCCCTTCATTATCAGCTCTGGGTAACGATACATTTCAAAAAATATATGCAATTACTGAGATTAAAGTGCACCAGAATGCACAAAACCTCCTGTCGATTTCCAGTGGCGAGATTATTACTGTTTGTGTATGGCTTCCCCCCCCACCCCCCGCCAATGGGTGGGAGGACGACAATGGAGGGAGAGTGGGAGGACTCGGAGAAGACGGCGGGTGAAAAGAATAGGGGCAGATTGGGGTGTCTGAAGACCTCCGTCTTCCAGATCCCATCCGCCCACAAGCCACCTGCACAGCGTGTAAGGCTTAACGCTTTCCTGATGTTGCGTTTGTCTACCGTCTTTCCCTGATCTCCATCAGTACGGTGGTCTTTCATCTTTTGAATGAAATGCAGCATGGGCATAAAATCTCTCAAAAAAAAAAAAAAAACATTTGGCGACAAATTACAGTCAAAATCTCTACTCTCAGATACGCCACACAGTTCTGTCTGGCACCCCCACTCGGTACGTCTGCGGCTGCATGCTTCCTGATGTAATTGAGGTTAAGTGTCTTTGCTTACGGGTACAACAGCTTCACTTGGGATTTCACCCAGAAAACCTCCTATTTATAGAGCTTCCACCAATCTGCTGAAGAATGGAAAAACGCATCAAAGTTCTGCCATATCTGTCGCTTTAGTCATGTAGCTTTCCAGGGCCCTAATTTGCTTCCCTTTTTCCCTATTTTCCCATCAAATATTGCTAGTTTGCAGCATATGTTCTCAAATCCCTTTCCCCCTAAGCCAATCTTAGAGCCTCGTATAGACCATAGAGTCAAAAATTGCCTTTTTGTACAGAGCGATGCCAATAACGAAAACAGCATAACGAAACATGGAGGGAAAAGTGGTGTGTAATTGGTTTCAGAGGGGTTGTTTTACATGTAGCTTGGTAGAATCCAATCACAACCAGACTTAGATGGGCAGCAGCAGAAGTCCATCTCCCTAAAGGCACGTGAGGCTTAAGACTATTTTCATTTGTTACCCACGTGAAGAGAATTGAATTTGAATCATCCAATCAGACACATTGGGGTTTTTTTTTTCTACCACCTCTCATTGTCTCACTTCATCTCACTGCATGAAAAACAAGGCAGAACAACATGTATATTTTACATATTTCAGTGTCAAAGCTTATCAGGAGCTGCTTACTGTTGACAGAGGTGTGATAAGGGTGCGTGTGTGTGAGGAAGAGAAAATCCGAGATAAAGAAAAAAAAGTTCGGCATAACAAACCTTGCTGTTGCCCCCGGTTAGGAGCGCTTTCCTCTGGTGTAATTAGAAATGGAGAAAATCTACACTCTGAGCAAGTTAATGCGATATTGATGCCGAAGTGAAGAGGTGCATTTTGGGAAAAACAAGAACTAAGAAGCAGTTTAAGGAGGACTTTACCCCAAGATTGTCAGGGTGTTTTTTCACCCAGCATGTAACAAAACTTTGCAATTGAGTAGCTGCCAATGAGATGAATGGGAATGCTAACGGCTAGCTCTCTCCAGGTATTACAGACCTTCTTAGCCCATTGAGTTAAAGGGCACAACTTTGACGTCAGCAGACTGCTTTAACAGAGACGTGAAACAGCAGACAATAAGACAAGCATAAAGCAAATTCAATTACTACTCATACCCAAGGGTCTCTCTCTGAAGAGAGAGAGAGAGAGACAGAAAATCCCAGTTTAAATACTCTATTCCAAATGAAATTAGAAGCTTATCCACCGGCTAATATACTAAATCACACGGCTCTGACGGGAAACGAGGGAATGAGTGTGTGGTAGGAATTGATAAACTGTAAGAAAAGGATAAAATAAATAGGTATATAGCATAATGTTACTTGTGTTAGCAAATGTTATGGAACGTAAATGCTCTATACTGGGCCAATCAATTATTTTGGTCATCATAGTTTTGTCATAATAAAATAAATAAAAATATTTAGAAATATATATTTTTTTAAATCTAGGAAAAACATCAAAGCATATAAAATTACAAAAAGAATTATATATATATATGAAGAGTTCAGATGCAAAAGCCTTTAAATGCCATTTGAAATATTCTTCTAAAGTGACCATTTTTATCAAACTTGTATATTTAAGTTCAGTAATTTCACTTAAATAACAATTAATAGGTAATTATCATTGCCATTTAAGTGAAATCACTGAACTAAAATATACAAGCTTGACAAAAATCATCATTAAAGAAGAAAATTTCAAATGGCATTTAGAGGCTTTTGCATCTGAACTCTTCATATATATATATACACTGTATATAGCTAATTTAAAAGTATTAATAAAAGCAATAGTAGTATAACCAATGAAAATATAAAAACAACACACATATATATTGTGACTACTGACTATTTAGTAGATGGGTTGATTTGCATTGCTAAATATCAAATTATTATTCTCACAATTTGATTTAAAACATTTATTGCTACTGTGCCTAATACTGGGCCAACTGGCGACTTACTCCCTTTTATTCACTAAAAGCAATTTTAGCCACATTTGGCAAGTGTGTATTTTGGACCCGGTTCACTTAATAACATTAGAGCTGTACCACAAATGTCCAAAAATGGGCCTGTGAAGGAAGTACAGCCTGTGTTGCTGTTTTATAGGGTTTTGTAGGTTTAGTACATTTAGTGTACTGTACTTCCATCCATTTCCGTCCACGCGATCAACAGGTCACGTCAATGACGTTTGGTCAGGAGACCCTCTGGAACAAAAAATGCTTGACGTCATGTTTCCAACTGCACCATATCTGATTTGAGAGCTGCGGTAGAGGGGAAAATGTCAATTTCAAGCTAAATTTAGTCTGTTCATCACACAAAGCTATTGTATGACTTCAGAAGACTTTCTGTAGGTCTGATTTTGGGCCGGTAGTCATCAAAACCGTTGAAAATAGTCTTACTGGTTAGCTGATTCCAAGTGAACTGAAAAGCAGCATATGTTGTCTTTCCCTTTCTTTGTCTGTACCTCTTCCTTTTCTGTGTCTTCCGCCATTCAAGCTTTCAGCTCTGGTTATAGAGCGATAAGTAAGCAGAGAGACAGGCATGAGCTAACGGATTAGCAACTGTGCCACTGGCAATTACCCAGTATCAGGGGCTAATCTTACTGAGAGACACCGCTGTCTCTCAGACTGCCAGCTGCCAACACTGGCACACCGCAGTATATTAGCATCAATACACCGCTGCACGGCAATAAAAGCACAGCGAGAGATTTGTTTGGCACAGCCATTGTGAAAAAAATAAGATGGAGGTCTTTTTTTTCTTTCTTAGATTAGGAGCATCAGTGTCATAGAAACTGAAAAACAGTACAGAATTGCCATCATTAGCATACAGGAAGTAAACTTATGGTTTCTCTTAACAAACATTTATGATGAGATGAGAAGTGGGAAAACACATATTTGATAAAATCCCTTCTGAAAAATATAAAGACATTCTTCACACTAAGAAAAAAAAAGATCCTTTTAAGAAATGCTCACTGAAAGGTTCCTTAGGAAACCAAAAAAGGTTCTTCAATAGGGGTTTTGGCACCAGGTTGTTATAGGAACTCAGTCAGGGCCTGAGGGGGACAAGTCCCCACAAATAACTAGAAAGGGCAAAATTGACAATATTTTGAGATTCTTAATGGCTCTTATTAGTTGTGTAATGATGACAAGAAGTTTTAAAAGCCAGCAGATGGAGACATTATTCAAGCATGCCATTCAACAACGTCAACAACTGGAGGGTGGAGGACACTGTGAGCTGTGTTTTTGTCATATTATGCGTTCAACTAATCAACAAACACCTACGTCACTGGTAGTTCTTATTGTGCCGGGTTAGACTCTACTCTGAAGTAGGAGTTCATTTAGTCCCACCCCCCCCAAAGGTGTTACTACACTCTAAAAAATGCTGGGTTGTTTTAACCCAACTTTGGGTCAAATATGGACTAACCCAGCCGTTGGGTTAAATTTTTACATTACATTTTTAACCCAACATTTTGGGTTTGTCCATATTTGACCCAAAATTGGGTTAAAACAACCCAGCATTTTTTAGAGTGTATATTTAAAATTGTTCCCAGTCTCTGGGGTGCGTACATGCCAAAAATCAGGTATTTGCGCCAATGGGAACTATGAAACGTTCTTCCAGGCATTGCTGCGAGAACCGACTTTTGGAACCTTTATATTTAAAGGGATAGCTCACATTCTGTCATCAATTACTCACCCTCATGTTGTTGCAAACCCATTAGACTTTCGTTAATCTTCAGGACAAAAATTTTGATGAAATCTGTGAGTTTTCTGTTTCTACTACCACTTTGAAGCTTAAGTAAAAGTAATACATTTGGTTTAGTTTAGTCCAAATTTTCTGAAGAGACGCGATTGCTTTATATGATGAACAGATTGAATTTAGGCTTTTATTCACGTTAACATTGATCAGCAAATATAAACAGAAGCTCAACCAAACCTGCTTGACGCGTGAGGACGTGGACCTTATTGGTTCTTGGGGAAGCTCAAACATGCTGCGTAATTGTGCGCTAGGTGCAAGTGATTTGAATGTTAAGTCAATACAAAGACGCGCTACGCACGTAAAAATTCCTGGGGCGCGAATGCGGTCAAGTTCGCGTTAATTAAGCGTCTGGCGCATTAAGCGCGATTGATTTAGTAAGTGCTAATTGTGCATTCACGCGTTTGACGCGAATTTGCGCCTGCTGGCCGAGTTGAAAAAATCTGATCTTTAGCGTCAATTCGCGCCGCGTTAACCAATCAGGAGCTTAACCAATCAGGACACAAATATGGCGACGATGATCCCTACGCCGGTGTTCTGCTCTCCAGAGCAAATACAGAGTGGTGACTCTTTCAATGAATGCTCGATCAACATAAAAAAAGATGGCCGCCAACGGGTTTCGATTACGACGCGCGTGACGCGTAAATTTCGAATCAAACTTTTGTTTTTTACACGCGTCAATTTCGCTCTTGACGCGCAAATGGATTCAAAGTGTTCATCTAAATTCAATCTGTTCATCATATAAAGCGATCGAGACTTACCATCTCTTTATGAACTTTTTGAAGCGTCAAAGTGGTAGTTGGGTAGCTGTCAATAGAGGGACAAAGCTCTTCATTTGGGTTTCCAAAGATGAACAAAAGTAATTAAGATGAGTAATTTATAACAGCATTTTCATTTTTAAGAGTACTATTGTTTGTGTGTAACAGATGATGCTTCAATTATATACAGTATATTGATCTGAACAAAATTTAAATGCAAAAATAATATTTAAAAGAACCATAGAACTATTAAAAAACCTAATACAGTAAAAAGTGTGCTTAATAGATTCTTTGCAGACCATAAGATGATGTCAAATAACCTACATTTTCAACACTGCTCTGCAAAAACAACACCTGTTAAATTCTCACACAATAAAAAGTGTGTTTGACAGGCTTGTAAATAGTGAATGTGTTAAATGGAGTGTGACAGAATGAGAACGGGTGCTACCTTGTTGATTTTGGGGTGCGCACAGCGACTGTTTCCTGCACTGGGGTGCATCCAGGTGCTCTCTAGAGGAGCACACTCCTGTCTCAGCGAACACTTCTTCTCCTGCACACACCAGCCGCAGTCGAACCGGGGATCCGCTTTCAGACACATCCCACAGCTGTCCCGCATGGCGTAACACTTGTACAGGTGCGCTGTCGAGAGAAACAGAGATAAAGAGAGGGATAAATATGCAGGCAGAGCAGAGGACAAAACCTTGCGACCACACATCAGATGAATTCTTCATTAATGTGCCAAGTTGCTTGGCAACAATAAACCATCTACAGTTGAGCTAATGAACTGTAATTTTTGACTGAAGAAGTGCTTATTGTGCTAACTAGACTTAATAAATGTGATTATTTTTAAACAACGGTGTCTTTTATATTATATTGCCATTACAGTTAATGTTGTGAGCTTCACCAACATCTCACAAGCCTAAATACACCCCTTTACTGTAGCAAAATCATGCAAAGCCTTATTTTTTTTTATTTAATGCACTCAACATGACAATTTGAGATAGAAAACAAAACAGCTAAAACCATTCTTTGCTGGTCTTAGCTGGTTTAACATGGATGTAGCTGGCCAAATTGGAGTTCAGTTGGTTTTAGCTGGTTCTCCAAGTCTGACCAGCTGAGTTTTAGCTGTTGTTCAGCAAGTAAATGCATACGAATTAAAGGGATACTTCACTTTTTTTTGGAAATAGGAAATTGGAAATATCGTAACACTTTGGTCATTTTTTTGGGAGAAATGCTAATGGTCTTGTGCATTTCAATGATGTATGCTAAGCTATGCTAAAAGTGGTACCGCCAGAACCGGAGATCGGCTGAATGGATTCAAAAAAGGTAAAACTCAACAGTTTAACTCTGGGGGAGTTGTAAAATGAGCGTATTTCCAAAAAAAGTGGAGTATCCCTTTAAGAGCATAACATGTAAACACTATATATTATGGTATTACATTATTACGATGTATTTCAAAGAATACCATGGTACACATCCAAATAGTACCATGGTAGCCTTTTGTTTGAAGCTGAAAGCATGCAAAAGTGCATTGAAGTTGAACAAACGAGTTAATCTACACCAACAACACCTGATAACTGCTAAGCGATCTGCAAAACTTTAAATCGGCATATTGCCATTTGAACAAGAAAAAAAACGTAGGGGGCAGGACTTGATTTTGTCCATCTGGAATTGATTGGATGGTTGTGTTTTGCTATTGGTGGATCTCATGTGAGTGACAGGTTGCCCTGCCTTCGAGCCGCTAAACACATCATCAGAATAGACATGTGGCTACATAAGGGAGGGGGGGGGGGTTTTGGTTAAAGATTACAACGGAATGTGAATAAAAAAACATGATAACAATAATGTACACTGATAAATCATGTATCCTAAAAAATACTCCATAAACAAACAAGAATGGTCAAAATGAGAGCACAAACACATTCTGCTATATTTTTTTATCTAAAATGTTCAAATAGTTCCCTTTAAATGTCAACTGACAGGAAGAGAGATTAAAAATTGGATTATTTATGAAACAAAGGTATCACCTCTGCTACCGCTAGCAATTAGTGAATTACAGATGTTAAATTCCCATTGTAATGAGAAAGATGGCAGATTTTTTAACGGATCCCTGGAGCTTCATGGGACTGGGTGAATGTTCCGTTGCCTGCGTGTCTTAGACTGCCGCCGGACTTCAAAGGAGACAGCGTATCCATCCGTCTCAGCCTCATGCTAATCTGATTAGCCACGGCTAAGCTTAAAAGTAGCGCTGCGCTAATTAAACTGAACCAAATGAATGATTTAATTACATTAACATTTCCACTTTACAGCAGAGCAAAGCTGGGGTTTTTCTCTGGCAGCGTGGAGAAGATGGATACATTTATTGTGCTATAAAGACAGTGCTGAGAGAGAGAGGGAGAGAGAGAGAGAGAGAGGGGGGGGGGAGAGAGAGAAATACAGCACAAAAATATCTCAACATCCCAAAAACAAGATAGTTTAAGAGTAATTAGAGAATATACATTGAATTTGTTCTTACACATAAATTTACTCACAATTTAGTGAGATTTATGCTTTAAACAAGAAAAAACTATATGTCAATGTGGTTAAAAACTAAATTCAATGTTTTTTAATATGTTATAAAATGTTTATGTTGAGTCAAATGTTTAGTCAAAATCTTGTGGACACATATTTAGTATGTGTTTTGTGGTCTTATTTAAGCAACTTTCTTTTTAATTTGTTTAATAACCACGCATAAATATTATTCTCTTAAAAATACAAACATGTACATACATGTTATTCACATATTATGGTAGCCCTGTTTGTGCTATATAGAGAGAATTTACACCTTTTCCATTAACATGTTTATAAATAACTGAAAAAAGCACGGATGTCAGTGCATGTCAGAACATCCCAAGGACCCCAAATACACCTTGGCAAATTTATCTTGTTTTACGGATATAGAAATATTTGTCTGGGGAAAAAAACCCAAATACATATGAATGAAATATAAATACATATTATTTATTTATTCATTCATTTGAATGGTGCAGACATGCTTTCAAGACACCATAATCTCGTCAATAATCTCTTACTCTATAGACGAGAAATCATAAAATGAAATGACATTTATGAATCAATTTACTTGTTCTCCACCCAACCAAAGTGGAGCATCCATCAATTCTACCTTTTCAAACCGACCATATGAAGGCATCTTAGTAGACAGGATGTTACACAAACATTGGATCTGGGTCCATCTTAATGCCTTCCTATCTCTGTGTACAATAGCATTTTTCAGATTTTGTTGACAGCGAAGAGATGGGAAAAAGAAGAACGGGAAAGCATGGCACTCGTTACCATCACTCAAGGTGCTGAGAGCTACATTTGGCCCAGGTGTGGCGATCTATTGGATGGCCCTCTAGAGTCGCCATTCACTCAGCGCTCTAAATGGCTGCTTACCAGCCTGACACTTGAAATATTAGCAGAAAAATGGACCTGGACTCGACCCAAAATGACCAAAGCGCTCATTTTGAGGTATATGAAGAGTCAGGCTGAGCCATCGAGATGGGGTAGTCAACCCATAACCACACTTTCTCGACTGACACCCTTTTCATTCTTTCTGAATGAGGGTTTCACACGGTTTCCTCATTGTTTAGCGGCGGCGAGCTGCAGTCACAGCTCAGGAAGGACCAGATAAGCTGTATGGAGAGCAGTGAGGCCTGACATCCAGCCAAGCATAAAACGGCCCTAATTCATCTTCACAGAGGGGTGGATACTACAAAAAGAGTGACTGTAGAGAAACGGATGTGTCAGACTGAGGCGAGGTTTACCTTGGATATGGTAGGGGTTGTCAATGACGAAATCTCCATTCCACACAACTGATAGGTCCACCGGCAGGTCGCTGATGTCATTTCCTTCATAGTCGTACTGCAGAGAGAGAAAGAAAAATGAAATCTAGATATGACTCCATGCTATTCATCACATATGGAAACATATGTTTTCTGACTGGAATTTTAGTTGGAGGCTTGTATAATACACACAGTCATCAATTGATAAAAGTTTGTTTTAGATGGGTGTTCAAGAAACATCATGTGGAAAATAAGGGTTTGAATATGATTCACAGCTTTTACCACCCTATACTCTTCCTGCTTATCACCATCATTTTCTGTCTCCAAAGTGGCTATTCCACCAAAAAAAAAAAAAAAATAAATGACGCAATGAACAACATTTTCAGATCTGATTACTCGCACTTCTTATCATTACTTCCTGTCCTCTCTCTATAGTGTTTATCCACTAAAAAGAAAAAAAAAACCTGTTGAAAAACAGGCTCTTGACATTAACTCAATCCCATTACCCTCACTTCTCACTAATACTTCCTGTCCTCTATCTATTGTCTTTCCATCTACGAAAGAGACACAATGTACTGTAGTGTTTATGTGGGAAATACGGTTTTAAACATTTTATTTTTAGCCATAATTCATGTCCACTCTCTACTTAACAGACACAGCCAACTGTAGTGTTTATGAAGAAAATGAGAGCTTTAATTTAGCTTGCAACATTTTTTGATTACAATTCCCTTCACTTCTCACTATATTTCCTGTTCTTGTGTTGATAAAATCTGCTAAAAAGACAACAACAATATAAAAATGCCATTGGTGCTTAATATGCAGGAAATACAGAATCTGACCTTTATTTCTGAACCAATTACTCCTGTTTCTAGTCATAATTTCCTGTTTTCTCTCTACTAAGGACACAAAGACTCCATCAACATTCATCTGTGGTGTTCATGTAGGAAATTTGAGTTTGAATCTGGCTCGCAACTAATTTCCAGTACTCTCCCCAATTACTAATAAGACAAAAATGGGCAAAATATCACACATACAAACAAAAATATACTTCTGAACACATTCAAGCTCAGTAAATGAGAATTTGAATCTGGCTCGCAACATTTTCCGACTCCCAAAACCCACGCAGCTCAACACTTTGGAGACACTTTACTTGAAGGGGTGTGCATAACACCTTCATAATCATGACATTACATATGTTATGAATACGAAGGAAGATTTATGCATGTTTGTGACAACTCATTCGCTCAATTATGACTATTCTTAATGCAAATATGAAATTGTTTGAGATGTCTTTGTTATGAAACCTTGACATAAACCAATACATCATAACCTGTCAGTGTTTTTGTCATGACAACTTGACACTACTAAGACCAGTGTTGTAGTACTCGAGACTCGGACTCGGTCTCGAGACCATATTTTAATGGTCTTGGTCTTGTCATGGACTCGTGTCCATTTGGACTCGGAATTGACTCGTACTCGAACATTTTTTTTTTTAGGACTCGGAATTATTCCCGAGACCACTCGAGTTCAATTAAAAATATTTTTCATGATTATTAATGTATGTTAATAAAAATATTTCTTTAAATTGATTGACTCGCCCAGTTATTGGTGATTTTCTAGTGTGCAACTGCGCATGGCAAATTGTAATAAAATTACTTTTAACACCACCTACTATGTGGCCTTTTTACCCTAAACTGATCATATTTTTTAAACTCTAAGTAAATTCAGTAAAATAAAATAAAAAAAAGGATTTCTCTAAGTAAATAAAAGTAAATTAGGTAATCAACCCTCACTGGTCTCGGTCTCGACTCGGACTCGACCGTCTCTGGTCTCGGACTCGACTCTCTATGGACTCGGTCTTGACTCGGACTCGACTCTCTCTGGTCTCGGTGTCGACTCGGACTCGAGTGAGGTGGTCTCGACTACAACACTGACTAAGACAACACAACCAATTGCAAATTAATGATCAAACTTAAGAAACCACCTAGCTTCATTGGTTAACATTACATTAAACGTAAACCACCAGGTGGTTGGTTTTGACATTGCCTGTCATGAAGCCATTATAACATTTTAATGACAAATTCAATTAGTACCACTGTAGTTGAGGTCACGAAAAATATTCATGACAGTTATAATGGCCTCATGACAGCCAATGTCAAAGCCAACCACTTGACAGTTTAACTTCATTTAATGTCAATTTGTCACTGACAGGTTATGATGTATTGGTTTATGTCAAGATGTCATAAAGACATCTTAAACAATGTCATATTTGCATTCAAAATGCCATTATTGAGTGAATGACACTTAATGATAGTTGTCAAACATGCATAAACCCTACTTCATATTCAAGACATATGTCATGTCATGGTTATGAAGGTGTCATGTCAGTGTTACCAACACTTTTTGGTACCGCTTCCTTTTACACTACAGTACTTAGTGTACTTACCTAGAAAGTACTGGCTAACAGGGGTAGGTTACCCAGTAATTGTAGTTACTAAAATAAGTACATAGTATTTACATGGGTAACTGGACTGTAAAAGGAAGCGTTACCCACTTTTTTCATGTCCTCTCTCAACTATAACTGTAACTGTGACGCTCAAAATGCACTAAAATGACCTAAAATAAAGCAAACAAACAAAAAAAAACCTCCAACACAGGACAAACCAACAAACAAATCCCTCGGATATGCATTTAAGTGTGGATGCTGCCAATTCAACGTGACCCTATTGTTGTGCAGCAAATCAGTGATTTACTGCACTGATCCTGACATGCAACTGGAGGCCGCCGGGATGAAGAGCGCTCAGAGAAACGCACGCAGACCGTGTTCCGGTGCACAGCTCGAGCTCAGCCCTGCTGAAATGGCAGCGAATGAATGAAACATGCTGGCTTATCTCGCTCCATGTAAATCTTGCCATTTAAAAGTGCATCCTTGAGAGAGAGAGCGAGCGAGAAAGAGAGTGAGACGGATAAAACGGAGGGAGCAACAGAGTGAGACGGACAGCGAAGGAGAGACAAGTCAGGATTCTCATCACGCAATTGTGAGACTGTCAGATCAATATGGGGGGAGGTGAAAACACTCCACCCTGACAGCAGCCTCCTCTCTCTACGGCCCCTCTCATTCACACACACTCCTTACAAGCACTGATAAACAGCAGCAGACATTCAGCACACTTACGGGCGAGCTTCTCGTATCAGAAACCGTCTCTTCAAGCAAAGCTACTGACTCAGAACCAGTGCGCCGAGAGAAATGCCATTTGTCTGCGCAGCCCCGGCCGTTTCTGGATGAGCTGAGGGGTCGGAGTGCGCACGGGAAAGAGGAAGCGAGACGGAAACGGGGCGGAATAGAGATGAGGGCGTGTGGGAGAGCTCAAAAAATAGAAATTACAGAGCGGAAGCCATTCATTTACACATGAAACAAGTGGCGGAGTTTAGGCGTGAAGCGTGTTGCTGGGACTTAAGTGAAATTGGCATTTCCAATTTGCTTTCTGACACATCTCATTTGGCTTCAACTGTCTCCAACACACACACAATTGTTGACCATTGAGACTTGAACATACAAAATACATGTCAAGCCAGTTTTGCGGTGCATTTCAAATGTGTTTGTATGTAACATCAAAACAGTTTTTGTGCAGAAACCATTTCAAAGCGGCAACCTCTCGTCGAGTGTATTAAAGGCATTGTTCACACAAAATCACCCTCATGCTGTTCCAATCCTGAATACCCTTGTTTTTAACCAATGAACAAAACAAAAGGAAAAACAAAGAAAAGAAAAAAGGAGGAATTACTTGTTCGTTCACGTTAGTTCTGAGGTGAATTATCCACACTGTAAACAAAAATATTGTTGGTTTAACTTAAAAAAAGTAACCTGGTTGCCTTAAAATTTTAAGTTCATTGAAATAGAAAAATTGAGTTAATACAATCGAAGGAGATTGATTTAATCATCAGAAACTCTAAATGAAGAGTTCAGATGCAAAAGCCTCTAAATGCCATTTGAAATTTTCTTCTTTAATGATGATTTTTATCAAATTTGTATATTTAAGTTCAGTAATTTCACTTAAATGGCAATGATAATTACCTATTAATTGTTATTCAAGTGAAATTACTGAACTTGAATATACAAGTTTGATAAAAATCATCATTCAAGAAGAAAATTTCAAATGGCATTTAGAGGCTTTTGCATCTGAACTCTTCAAATATTATGTTATCTGAACTACATAAATGATCTAAGGTGATTTGACAAAAGAAAAAATGTTGTGATTACAAATCATGAAAATATTTTTTTTCAGTTCATTGTCACTCTCAGTATTACTATAAAAGTCACGCAAAATGATATGCAATGTGATTGTTTCCAAAGAAAGAAAATGCACTAGACCATTGTTGTCTTTCGAAATGATTTTAAATGATCCGTCAATGTTTATAAAATGTAGCGCAACAAAACAAACGTTAAAGCGAAGACTAACAAGTATGGTGAGCATAGGACCGCTTTTGTTCACATTGCACATAAATCTTTTTTTTTTTTTTTTTAAATCTGATCTTTATGACTTTACCCGTCTGTCATGCTGCAAGTGATGAAATCAGGTCCGTTTGTACTGACAGTGCAGTCAATATCCGGTATATCCACATCGGTTGCTGCGGTACTGATTTAAGTGTCAGCGCGACAGCGAGAGTCTTACTTCTACTATAACTGAGTAGCTGTCACTTTGGAAAGCGAGGACGGAAAACTGAAAATTGCCTTTGCTCACGTCCATCATGACATCTCACCATGATGAACTCCCGAAGAGCATCAGACAACATAAGCATCAGAGGGATTACAGAACTATTGACACATTCATGCAAACACCGCCTCTTAAAACTCATTGACCATTTAATAGATTAATGTCGCATCTGAACATACACTAATGTTTAAATGTTTGGGGTTGGTGCGGTCTTTGGAAAGATGTCTTTTATGCTCTGCATATATTTGATCGAAAATACATTCAAAACAGAAATATTATTACAATGTTTTCTATTTTAATATATTTTCAAATGAAGGTTTTAAAATATGTTAAATAATGTATTACTGTGAATTTTCAGCATCAT